GGAGGTAAAATGGGGCTCATGGCTCATGGCTCACGGTTTTAGGTTATTGTAGAGGTTACGGTTTAGGGGGTTAGGGTTTGCGGATTTGGAACTTCGGGAAGCAGAATACGGATTAGGATTCACAGAAAAGCAGGAATAAGTGATACAAGTATGTTGCAGAATCCGGACAGGGCTGAGCGTTGTAAGCCCTACGGTTTCAGGCCTCAGGCCACACCCTAAACCATAAACCCTAAATCCTAAGCCCCAAGCCTTAATTTGAAGCCAAGGTTCGAAGTCAAGCTTTAGGGTCCGAGAGTTTGGGGCATAGGCTAGATGTTCGGCAGCAGTTCTTGCAGCATCTCTTTAGGCCCTAGACCCTAACCCCCAAACCCATATCCCTAACTCCGTAATCCCTATCCCCGAAATCCCTAAATCGCTAGAGCTTAAACCCCAAAAACCCCTAAACCCCAAAATCCCTAAATCCTAGATTTCCTAAATCCCTAAACCTTAATCCCTGAGATCTATATGGCCCTAACCTCAAACCCCCGACTTTTTGGACACCGCACCTCTCCACCTTTTCGTAGCGCTCATCACCCGCTGGCACCGTCACGAAGACGTATTCGCCGTCACGCCTATAGGACAAGACTGGTACCCGGTTTAGGGGTTTAGGGGTTTACGGGTTTGGGGGCTCAGGGATTTGGGTCCCTGCTTTTGGGGTTGCAGGTTTCTTGTTCAGGGTATCTGCTTTTGGGGTGGCTGGCTTCTGATCGCTTTTGGTTCAGGCTTTCGGGGCGCGGCTTACACCCTCAGAGACGAACCCAAAGCGAACCATGGGCAGGCCCAGTTGGGACCTGCTACAAGTCCCATGGAAGACGCATAATTAGTCTAGAAGTCTGAGCTGATTACCATTATAATCTTCCTTGAGGCTCCCTACTACAAATGCAATGACTATGATAAACTGATAAACTCCAAATCCATGTCCTAATCGCTAAGGCCCCTACATTTAGAACCCCTCATAAGCCACAGGCCCGATCAAATCCCTATAAAGAGCCCATAAACATAAACCCATCATTTCGCCCTGCGAAGGTCTTCGAGACACGGTTTCCGGAACTCGCCTGATACAGCCCCTGATGCAGTCCTTGCCGGCCCGTATGAAATCCTGAACAGCCCTCGACTCCTCAATCCCCCTTTAGCAGCGTTCGAAGCTCCTCAGATGCCGTGAACCCTGTAAGGATCATGCAAAGCCTCATAGCCCTTGAACCCCAACCTAAACCCACCCAAAACCTTACCTTTGGTTAGTAGAGCATGGAGGAATGGGGCACAATGAGAGCTACTATGGCTACCATTCTTCCGTTCCCTACTAACCAATGGTAGGAGAAAAAAGCTCCGGCGACAAAAGGAAGAAAAAACCCTAAACCCTTAAACCCCAACCTAAACCTCTAATTCCTAAACTAAAACCCACCCCCGCTAAAAACAAATAGAAAAACATTAAATAAAAAAATATATATATATATATATATACATGTAAGATAGCAAAAGAAGTATATATATATATATACATATATATATATAGATGTATATATATATATATATATAAATCCATATATCCATATATATGTATACAAATATATATATATATATATATATATATATATATATAACAGCTCCGGCGCCTCGCCGGCTCCAAGGTTGCTAGCAGCTTCTGCAAGTCGCGCTCACCCGCGGAGGGCTCCATCAGAGAGCTCCGGTGGACTTTTTGGGAGGAGTTTAGGGTTTTGGGATTAGGGTTTAGAGGGTTCGGGGTCTAGGGTTTTGGGCTTTAGTGGCTTAGGTTAGGGTTTAGGGTTTAGGGTTTTAGGGTTTTGGGAGTAGGGTTTAGGGTTCAGGCTTTTGGGGAAGGTTTTCAAGGTTTAGGGATGAGGGTTTAGGGTTTAGGGGGTAGGGTTTAGGGTTTAGGGTTTGGGCTTCAGGGTTTAGGGTCGTCGAGGTTTTGGACAAGTTTTGTGTTAGAAGTTTAGGACTGTTCAACAGTCAAAGTTTAAGATATCTTGGAAGGTTTTGTAAGTTTATTAAGGGTTTGGGACTCTTTTGGTTGGTTTAGTGTCAAGGCAGATGACTAACTTCTGGCTTTGAACTACAAGCGGCTGATACAAGAAACCTTTATCCCCAAACATTAGTATAAGCCCTACAAACACAAACATCCGCAGCCCCCCCCCCCCGCCCTCGAAGCCTCACGCCAAGCTCCTTTAGCGCACACCAAGCCCTGGACTCGACCCTAAATCTTACGCCCTACCTGTAGCCGAGAAGACCTTCCTTTGTAAGGTTCCTTATTGTAGTTTCTATATATAATTCCGAACGTGGTAGGTCTTTTGTGCCAAAAGTAAACCTAACTAAACCCCAAAACTTAAACCCTAAACGCTTCACCCTGAATCCTCAGCCCTACACCCCACACGCCCCAAGCCTAAGTCTTAAGCCCTACACCCCATATGCCTTAACCCTAAAGCCAGCTCGACCCTACTACCCGATCCCATAAACCCGAACCCCTAAACCCTCGAGTTTAGGGTTTAGGGTTTAGGGTGTAGGGTGTAGGGTTTAGGGTTTAGGGTTTATGAACTCTCAACCTTCAACCCAAAACCCTAAACCCTGAACCCTAAGACCCTAAACCCTAACCCCGAACTCCTAACCCCCTAAACCCTCAGAAGCGGCAAACTCCAGCTGCCTCAGTTAAGGACACCGTAAATCCTACGTCTATTCCTTTAACCCAGACCCCCGGGAGGATCTAGAAAGTAGATCGCCTAATGATTTGGGGCCCTATATGGATCCTCCCAGGGATCCTTGGAGTCTCTGGGTCTGGGTGCCCTAAACCCCAAATCCTGAACCCTAAACTCTAAATCCTGAAACCCTAAACCCTAAATCCTGAAACCCTAAACCCTAAACCCTAAACCCTAAATCCTGAAACCCTAAACCCTAAACCCAACCCTAAATCCTGAAACCCTAAAGGGCTCTAGGGGCCCCTTTTAAGGGATCCCTAGAGTGCAGCCCCTGGCTCCGGTGTTGCGCCTCCAGCCGGTGCAGCTCACGAAGTCGGCGTCCTTGCGAAAGCTCCGGAGCTCTCGGGGGTTTTGGGGGGGTTTCGGGTTTAGGGGCTCTTAGGGCTTTGGGGACCTAGGGGTTCCTTTAAAGAATGAATCTGTAGGGCTCCTTAAAGGGATCTATAGGGTTTGGGGGTTTCGGGTTTAGGGGCTCTTAGGGCTTTGGGGGTTTAGGCTTCGGGTTTAGGGTTTCTTAGGGGTTTTGGGGTTTGGGGGTTTAGGCTTCGGGTTTAGGGTGTTTTAGGGGTTTTGGGGTTTGGGGTTTAGGGCTTCGGGGTTGGAAGTGCAGGGTTTACGGGTTTAGGTGTTGCGGTTCTTTCTTGTGCTCGGGCTCGAACAGTGCTGCATCTTGCATGAAGTGCCCAAAAAAGCCGCGTTGTTACTACTGTTGCTAGCAGCATCAGTCTGATGATGGCCACCATGCGGTAATGGTCGCGACACTGGTGGACTCATGATCACGAGCACAGCCACCGTTACCAAGCCACCATCATCCTAGCGGTCTTTATTACGATGAACACTTACTGGGCGACTGTTGCCACTCGGCAGCAGCTGCGCAAAAAGTGATCCAATTGCGAATACCGCTCCCTAGAACCCGAAATTTCACAACCCAAAGGCATCCGCCCGAAAAAGCTGAAAACCTGGAAGCGCAAATCACATGCCCTAAATCCATGCAGCTTGCCACCGTCTACACACTAATCCTGAAGCCCCTTTCTGAAGTTCCCGACATGAAGAAGACTGAGACCTGAAAACGTCTTTGTATGTTTTGTGTACATCGGCATAGATATAGATAGAAGTGCAGGTACAAGAATGAGCATACCAATCTCGGTTTGTCAGCAACCCTTTAAAATCACCGTACCCAAGCCCAGCCCTACTAGTCAATCAAGAGAGCGAACTACAAAACGACAACGGAACGAGGCTAGTACTGGAACCCCGTGAAGCCTTTCTGGAACGCTGACAATCCGCATATGGAGACATTTTTGGAATGAGGCATCCTACATTTATGTTCCAACTTTCTCGGGTTCACCATTGTTGTTGTAGTAGCGCCATTAAGATGCTTGCCAAAAGAAGTCCGGGGAAGCCTTCAGAGGGTCCGGGCGGCCCTTTAGGATGCCTTCGGCATCACCGCGCAGGGCCTTCCGAAGAGGGGCTTAGGGCACTAGGGTTTTTAGGGGTTTAGGGGTTTAGGGTTTTAAGGGCTTTCGGGGCTTTAGGGCTCAGGGTTTCCGGGTTTAGGGCTATAGGTTCAAGGCTTTTAGGGTCTTGAGGTGTAGGGTTTAGGGTTTTAGAGAGTTTTATGGTTCAGGGCTTCAAGGGGTTCCTCTAGAGGGTACTATACGGGCTCCTTTCAGGGACTCTAATGTGTACCATAATTCGTTGCTTAGGGCTTGAGGGTCTCGAGGCTCTAGAGTGCTTTGGAAGTTTGTATAGGATCGAAGTTTAGGGTTTAGGGTTTGGGGTTTAGGGTTTAGGGTTTAGGGTTTGGGGTTTAGGGTTTAGGGTTTGGGGTTTAGGGTTTAGGGTTTAGGGTTTGGGGTTTAGGGTTTAGGGTTTAGAGTTTATCCCATCGGGGTCGCAGTCAGTCTTGTTACGCACAAGGAGTGTATGACAGCAATAGTGGAATCTTAAGACAAGACTGACTACTTACCTCAAGGTAAATGGTGGTTGCACAGCCACAGCTATAGTTTATAGCACTTTACAGGTCAGTGCAAGTCTGTATATGACACTACAGTCAACTAAACCTTGTCGAATTGACAACACGAACAGCCTCGAGCCTGGAGTGTGCATTCAAGCATATTACACCTTTCTTGCCGCCCTTCCCAAAAACTGCCCTATCCCTTAACTCAGGAATACACCTCAAATCATAGTATGGATCCTACTCTTATTTTGGGCATATTCCTTTTTTCCCTTATAGAACCCTTTATTGATCCCTTTAAGGAACCCTGTAAGGAACCCTTACGTATATTCCTTGCGGATCCCCTAAAGGAGCCCTATGTCCCAGAATTCCTTAATTGGGGCATCCTGGGGAGAATCTCTGGGTTGCTGCGAAATCAAACCCTACTTCTGGGGGCCTTAATAGCTAGAATAGAGTCTAAGGGTATATCATACCAGAATTATACTGCGGAAGCCCCAAAACCCTATTCTAATTATTGAGGCCCGGCCCCTACACTCCCTTAGATTATTCCGCTTAAAGGATCCCGGAACCCTAAACCCTAAACCCTAAACCCGAAACCCTTCAACCCCTAAACCCTAAACCCTTAAACCCCTAAACCCTCAACCCTAAACCCTTTTAAAGGATCCCGGATCCCTCTTCTATCTTGGGATGAAACCATGGGCCCCTAGTATGAGAGCCCTTAAGCCTGGGACCCTTATACGGGTGGTGGTCAAAATTAGGGTTTAGGGTTTAGGGTTTAGGGTTTAGGGTTTAGGGTTTAGGGTTTAGGGTTTAGGGTTTAGGGTTTAGGGGTTTAGGGGTTTAGGGGTTTAGGGTTTAGGGGTTTTGGGAACCCCAAATGTTAGGTGCCGTACAGTATTAGGGACCCAAAAAAGGACCATAATTTTGACAACTACCCATATACCCTTACAAGGGCAAAGAACCCAAAACTTCTAGATCCCTTAGAGTATATAACCCTTTTAAAGGATCCGGAACCCTCTTCTAATTCTTAAGTTCTAATTCTTACGTGCCTCTAAACTCCCTAAACCGTAAACCCTAAACCCTCGACCCTAAACCCCTAAAACCCTAAACCCTAAACCCCTAAACCCGGAACCCTCTTCTAATGCTTAAGTGCCCCTCCTCCCTGAACCCTAAACCCTAAACCCCCTAAACCCTAAACCCTCAACCCTAAACCCCTAGGCCCGGAACCCTCTTCTAATTCTTAAGTGCCCCTTTACTATCAGTCGAGGCCTCGCCGGTCGTGTATTCGATCTGGCCCTGGAAAGGGATCAACTCCGGAACCGCCTCCCACTGGCACTTTTGCAAAGAAAGAGGCTAGGGTTCCTCTAAGGAATCCTTAACAAATCTATAGGGTTTAGGGTTTAGGGTTCCCAAGGACTCCAATATCCCTTAATTGAAGAATTTAATTCCTTAAACTATAGTAGGGTCCTTGCTATAATTGAAGAGGTGTCTTCCTTAATCAAGGGATATTGGAGTCTCTGGGTTCCCTTAAAGGAGGAGTCTATAGAGGTTACTATAAGTGCTATTATAAGGGTCCTTCAGGGTTTTCCTCAAAGAAAAGAGGGTGCAGTAAAGCGCTCCCTTAAAGGAGGAGTCTTCAGAGGTTACCATAAGGGCTATTATACGGGTCCTCCCGGGCTTTTTGCAGAGAAAGAGGGTGTGGTAAAGGGTTCCCAGAAACTCCAATATCCCTGAATTAAGGAATGTACCTTAAACGATAGTAGGATCCTTAATATAATTGAAGAGGCATATTTCTTAATCAAGGGATATTGGAGTCTCTGGGTTCCCTTAAAGGAGGAGTCTATAGAGGTTACGATAAGGGCTATGAAGAGGGTCCTTCATGGTTAGAATAGGGTTTTGGGGCCCATTGTACCAGAATGATAATAAAAAGAAACCCCAAAATGGTGTAGGTAGTTATTCAGGCCTCTATACTACGGTTGATGATATAAATCCTGCATTACCCATAGTAAGGAATATACCATAGTTCCCATAGTTTAGGGTCTTTAAGGTAATGCAGGATGTTGAGTTTGGTATCTTGAGGCTTGTGCAGGGTGTGTTCGCTGCCGTGGATCTTGTTAACCTCTTATTCATCCTGCTGCCGGTGTCAAAATCATATTTACCCTGATTGGACTGCTCTTCTTGTGCCCTGCAGCTGCATCACCCAAAGCCCCACACAGAGATCCTTGCACAGATTTGTTGCCACAATTTACAACGGCCACCCCTTTGAGGAAATTCGGCTTTGATGCGTTTAAAACTGCAGCAGTGAAACACAAACACGTCACACATCGCCAGATAACAAGAGAGAAGCTGGAGCGAATTTGTGCATGCGTTCATGCATCGCTCTCTTTAACATACGAACCGTCTCGCACACCTACGGTGTGCCAACAAGCAATTCAAATTCTGATGGCATCCATTGTGACGGTCACATCTTGATTGCAGCGTCTAGCCCTGGCTCTCGCAGCGACTGTGCCGACCTCCAGCAGAAGCGCTTCACTGTCCACCCAACCTTGGTTGCTGAGTTCAGAAACCCCCAAAAGTGCACACTTTCAGTTTTACAGTGGGCAGTATTATCCCAAAAAGTGTAAAGTGTATCCACTCAGCTACTAAGCAACTGGTGAAGAGCCCGTCTGAACCGAGCAGTAGTTGCTGCAAACGTTCGTTGAACCGCTCCACGTGCTTAGTAGAACCGATCTTCGAGAGAATGGCCTCCTCGTTCATTGTTGGGATAGGATTAAACATGTACATTGTTATTCCTTATTGGGTTTAAGCACCCATAAAAATGTAACATGTTACCCAACTATGGCAAAGCCTCCTTGTCCTCAGCCCTTGAAGCTAAGCAGTCCTGCACACGCAGGGAGCTTAGGCGCCCCGAGTTCGTCTCTAAGGACTCGGGAGAATGAAGAACCACGTGCTGATCAAGGTCGCTGGCATGTGCCTGTACTAGCTCAGCGACGCACCAGGCCCGCCGGAACATCTCGAAATGCTTATCGACGGCAAGAACTTGGAGAAAATGATGTGGGAAGTGCCGGTGAAGGCATGCCATCATGCTGTCAAACTTGTTAACTTCGCACAGGATCGGATGATCGTTCAAGTACTTTGGCGTGGCGCAGTCGCAGGAGGGAAGCACCTGCCCCGTAACCGCATCCCTTATCCCAACGAAGTCACAAATACTGGCATGTTGGTTGATGCAGAAAGCGCAGATCCAGTATTCCATATTCTGTGAGCCCTGGCTGCGGAGTCGTTGACTTAGGACTGCATGCTCGTCAGCAGACAGTTGGTCAGCGATGCTGTCCCAACGCTTCAAGCCCAGGCTGTCTGCAACAACAGCAGCCACCAAATCCCGGAAACGGTTCTGCCAGTGGTGTGTCACCATGCGAGGTGCGGAAGACAAGCTTTTGCAACAACCCACAGGCGTTGTCATCAGGACCTCTGACAGAGCCTTCCCAAGAGGACCGCAGCGAGACTCTGGAATGATAGCATTGAAGACCACGTCTTGGGTGGTCGATTTGGTAGGGTCAAAATGCGGCATCAAAGGTGTCGTCGTGAGCTGCGCATAGAAATCCAAGAGTTGACCCACCGAAATCCGTCGGTCTGCCAACTCCTGAACCTGGGTCATGGTTGGGATAAGGTTAAACATCTACATTTTCTTTATTATTGGGTTTAAGTACCCATAAAAAGGTAAAATGTTACCCAACTATGACAAAGGAACTTTTTCGTCCCAAACACGCTTGTCACAGTCAGCCTCATGCGAGCTTGACCAGCCAGGCAGCTGGGAAGCTACGGACAAGGTCTTCTCTACTCTTTGCAGAGACCACTTCTTGCTGACTCTGTTGTTTGCCTGCCCGCAAGTGCATTCCACCTGCTGTGTGCGGCAAGCTTCCTCCAACAACCCGGAATCAAATCTCCCTGCGGATCGCTTGATTCCCTTGAGTCGCGGCAGCCGCAGAGAACTGCCCGACAGAATCATCAAGCAGAGCGCGTTGCTGATGAAGTTGAAAATGTCTCCATAGGACACGGCATGAAACCAAGATGCATCGGCGGATGCTTGCAGAGCACCAAACGTGAGAATGTGCCATGCTATTAAAACATTAGCCAGCAAGATGCCGGCCTGAGAACGGCGAATCACCTTGATGGCAAAGGTCAGTTCATCTTCCATCTGGCCTTGCTGTTTTTTTGCTCGACACATCCTGCGGCACTCCTGCAAATCCTTCAGAGGTAGAGAAAAGGCCTGCAAGATCAGAGTTGTCAAAACACCGATGAAGAGGGCGGCTCCCACGGCGAGTAGAAAATCATCCAAGCGGTTGGCAGTGAAAAAACCGATCACACTCGGAAAGTACATCACATGCACCAACCAAGACAGCCGCCTTACGTGCTGAGAGCAAGGCAACGGTTCTCCGAATGCCTCTTCCAGGGCACCAAGTCTCCTGACTTCCATCTGCATGCACCATACGTCGCCCCAGTAGCTTATGACTCTTCCACAGAAACCAATCGCATAGGCCACGATCCAGGCATCTCCCTGCCAATAAGAATCCCTGAAGCCATCCCCGTTGACATCAGCAGCTCGGCAGGCGTCGAAGGTGACGGCCACTGACACCAAGATCTTCCCCAGGAACATATACAAAGTACATCGAATCGCGTCGCGAATGCTTGCAGAAGGCGGGTGCTCAGCCAGCACAATGTATGTCATGAATGGAGCAGAGAGCCAGTTCAATGCAAACATAGCACATTGCAACGTCCACATATCCTCAAAGGTATTTCCAAAGATAGTCTTCAAATTGGTGGGCTCGAAAGCTCGACAGCCTTCTCTGCCACCCAAGAACAGCCACGGAATGAGAGGTACAAAGATTATGGTCAGCCAGATAGCCGTGACAATGCAACAGCGCATCCAAAACGACGACGGAGATTTCTGATCTGCCAAAGCGACATGGCCGACAAAGTATGCCCAGAACGCGATCAAGGGCCAGGCAGGATTATTCTCAGCGGCATTTTCCGGGATTGCAAAGCACAATCCTACCGCCAAGGCTGCCAAAGCGATAGCCAGCCCCCAAACAGCGCTCATGGCGGCGTCAAGGACCCTGGCATGTTCCCAAAACCCCGAGACGCTAAACCTTCATGTAGACCCCTGATGCATGAAATTTCGAATCCTCTCCTCCTAGCAGGCAGCTAGTGAAGGTACCCTGTTCCCCTTTTAGAGTTGAGGGTTTAGGGTTCAGGGTTTGTCTAAACCCTTTACCTACTCCTGCCAAGAACAAATAGCTCCGCCGACCTCCTGCAGGCTCGAAGAACACCGCACAGGGTTGAGAATGTAAGGGTTGGAGCGGGAGGGCGGGGGAAGGGGGAGCTTTATGTTAACCATATGCAGACTGTACAGGGATAAGGCGCTGCCACAAATTCTGGCACGATGAACCACCCCAAAACCCCAACACCCTACACCACCCAGAAAACCCTAAACCCCAAACCCACATGCGCAGCAAAAGAAGGCCTTAAGCTGATCATGCGACCACTGCCTTATCCTCTGGGTCGAGCCGCGGGTCACAGCAGTAGACCTGGAACCCAGAGACTCCAAAATATCCCCTAGTTTGGGTATATACCTATTAAATTATAGTAGGATCCTTGGTATGATTTAAGGTATATCCCTTAATAACTTGGAGGCTCATGGGTAGTTATATGTAGGGTTATAAGTGGCGTAACTATACTTATAATCCATATTGGGGGACTTATAACCCCAGCTACAACTACCCAAACCCCTAGTCCCTAAACCCTAAACCCTACAGGACCCTTAAAGGAACTCTAAACCCCTTATAACCCCACTTAGAACTTATGACTACCCATGAACCCCCAAGTAATTAAGGAATATACCTTAAATAATATTGGGGATCCTACTAGCCTTTAAGAGGTATAACTGCTGATGGACAAAATCCTGCATTACCCATTGTAAGGCATATACCATAGTTCCCATAGTTTAGAGTCCTTAGGGTCATACAGGATTTTGTCCATCAACCGAAGTATTCTAAACTAAGGGATATTGGATCTTTAAGGCTTCGGGGTTCGGGCTCTTAGGGTGGAGGATCCTAGGTGTAGAATTCCTTTGAAGGGATCTATAGGGGTTCTTATAAGGGGTTTCTAGAAGGGATCTATACGGGCTTGGGTTTAGAGTTTAGAGCTTTGGGTGTTGGATCTAGAGTTTTGAGTTTTGGATCTAGGGGGTTTGGGTTTCTGTCGAAGTGTAATATAGGGGCCTTAATAATTAGACTAGGGTCTTGGGGCCCATTATACTATAGTTATACGAAGGAACCTCCCAAATACGGCTGATGGACAAAATCCTGCATGACCCTAAGGATTCTAAACTATGGGAGCTATGGCATATTCCTTATTGTGGGTCATGCAGGATTTATATCATCAACCGTAGTATTGGTCACCCTTGTCTTGTTTTTTAACAACGGTAGACAGAATCCTATACCTATATCCCTTAGTAGGAATTATTTAAGGTCTACTAGCCGGTCTGCTTACTCTTTTGGGGGAACCATGGAAAAAGGACAAGGCTGGTATTGGTAATTCTTCGGGCTCCTGGGGAGTTAAGGGTTAACCTTTTTGGTTATATTATAGGGGCTGTATAGGGACTATGCTCCCCAAAAGAGGTTAAAGGCTGCCGACTCTACTACTATGGAAAGAACCCTAAGGTACCCTTATGGACCCTTTAAAGGGACCCTTATAGATCCCTTAAAGGGGCCCTGATAGTTCCCTTAAAGGTTGCCTACTCTGCCTACTCTACTACTAGGAGTAAGTCGCAAGTTCAGCTCCGGAGGACTTGAGGATTAGTAAATAATAGAGGCAGTACTCTAATAGGGACCCCAAAAGGACCCTAATTTTGACAACTGCCCATATCATCAACAGTAGTATTGGTAATTCTTCGGGCTCCTATAGTAAGTCGAAGGCTCAGCTCTGGAGGACTTGTGGTTTAGCGTGCAGGTGCCGGGCTTCGGGTCTCGGGGTTTGCTTGGAGGGTCTTTAGGGGACTTAGTAAGTAGGGGACTCTTTTAAAGGGGATTCTAGGGGTTCCTTTAAAGAGCTCTATAGAATTACTATAGGGTTTAGGGTTTAGGGTTCAGGGACTTAGTAAGTAGGTGGTAAGTAGACTTATAAGTACCCTAAAAGGGACCCTAATTGGGGTTATGGTACTTATAAGCCCCTAAAATAACCAGTTACTAAGTCCCCCGACCCTCCAAGTAGGGTAAGGGATCTATGGGGGTTAAGGGTTTGGGTTTAGGGTTTAAGGTTTAGGATTTAGAGGTTTAGGGTTTAGGGTTTCGAGGTTTAGGGCTTAGGGTTTAGGTTTAGGGATGTTGAGGGTTTAGAGGATTTAGCAGCATTGAAAGTTCAGAAGCTTCCGATTATGAGGTAGCTTACGTCTTGGGGTTAGGATTACGAAGGGTTTTGGAGTTCTCGGCATTTGAGGCGACATATAGTTCAGGATGTAGGGGTCTGAACCCCTCGACAGGCATGCGAAATCCTTCGAATCGGATCTCGGCAGCTAGGGTTCTGGGCTACATTATCGTATGACAAAAGGCGCTATAGGTGTTGTACTAATCCCTATACCCTAAACCTAATTATTCAGACTCCTGTCTTTGACGGACCTGCTGTAAAGAGCAGCTCTACTCGGGGCTCTGCAACGCAAAGCGTCAACCTCACCATGCGCAGTCCCCCTTTATCCTGTGGTTTAGGCTTCAGGGCTGAAATAGGGTCTACCCTAGGGTTTAGGGTTTAGGGTTTAGGGTTTAGGGTTTAGCGGCAAGCATGAGAACAAGTAGAAGAATGATTGCAACCCATGGGAAGAAGAACACACGTAAACCAACGCGGCACACACAGTACAACAAAGCCATACTGTAGGGGCCTTAATAGTTAGAATAGGGCTTTGGGGTATACTGTGTTGTAGTTAGAATAAGGAACCCGCACAATAGTACTGGTACTTGTTATTTTAGGCCCCTCTATTCATTCAACCGTTGTCAATGTAGCAGTCTACACCAAACCTTCAACCCAAGACCCGTAACAGCCAAGACCCCCGGACCTAAAACCGATTCCTAAAGCTCCATAAGTCCGCAGAAATCTCCGTAGAGTCCCAGAACCCCCGCAGAAAGGTCCCTAAACCCTAAACCCTTGGTCCATTGGGCAGCTGGCGATCAACTCCATGGATGTCTGGCGCTGCCACAGCTGGACCTCGTATTCCATAGAATTGAGTGTTGGGGTGTAGGGAGTAGAATTTAGGGTCTAGGGTTCAGAGGGGAGGATTTAGGGTTAAGGGCTTAAGTTTCAGGGCTTAGGGAGAGTTTAGGGTGGGCTTTTGTAGGGTGTTGTATGCCTCGAACCCAACTCAGCCCATAGCTATGATGGAATAACCGAAATCCGGAGTCATCAACCCTAAACCTTCTTACTATTGTTATTGTTATTGATATTGCTACTAATTTGTTTGCGATAGTACTTTTCTTGCTTTTGCTATTATTCTTGCTAATCTTAATATTCTTGCTATTCTTACTATTCCTGTGAGTGTTTCTGTGAGTGTTTTTGTTGCTATTTATCATTACTAGTGTTGCTGCTATTGTCATCGTTGCTATTACAATATTTGGCATTGTTTATAGTGCTTAGCATTAGCATTGTTCGTAGTAGCAGGATTATTCGTAGGCAAATTATTGTGAATCTGAGTAGTATTGGTTTTCTCTGTTATTGGTGTTGTTGAATCATAGGGACCCTTAGGGGGTAGGGGGGAGAGAGTTAGGCTGCCTTAATACCTAAAGCAAGGACTTCATAAGGCCTATTCAAAGAAGTATAGTCCCCTACCCCCTAAACCCTAAACCCCAGACCCTAAATCCTCAACCCTAAACCCTGAACCCTAAAGCCTAAATCTCTCACCCTAGTCCCGCAAACCCCGAAGCTTAAATTTTGGGAAGCCTGAGTCATCCGATTCGGGTCCAGCGTTCAGGGTTAAGGGTTCAGGGTTTAGGGGTCTAGGGTTTAGGGGTTTAGGGGTTTAGGGGTTTAGGGTTTGGGGGCCCAGCAAGCCCCGGGTCGCTGGAACGCCCACATAGGGAGTTGATCACTGGGTTTCCCATCAAGGGAAGAATCAAGGTATTCTAGTGGATGTTAGGCCTAGCTCTGGCTGGGGGCTGTGTTCGGACCATTCTCCATAGGCTCCACCCATTGTTCCGCCCAGTGCGAATGGTCAAGGCTGCCGGGAATCTTGAGTGTCTGGCACCCAGTTATGGGTGGGAACGGCCCCAGGGGGCCGAGTGGGAATTTAGGGTTTAGGGGTTCAGGGTTTAGGGTTTAGAGCTTAGGGTTCAGCGTTTAGGGTCTGGGGTTCAGGGTTTAGTGGCTTAGGGAGAACAGGGTGCCATTGCGGCAAAAGTTCTACTCGAAATTCGAATAGGCATTCTCAAGAAATACTGCGAGTCTGCCGCGATAGCCCACGCACTCGAACCCAAGCCGCTTTTCATGCCTGAATCCTACGCCTCCTTATGCCCCTGAACCCCCGACCATCTGCAGTTTTGGGGTTTGCGGTACATGCATGAACTACGAGATGGTTCCCTGAATACCCCTGGCGCACTCCCAAAGTGTAGATGCGCTGCCAGAGCTGGGTGATTTGCGCCTTTATCAGCGCCTACCTGGCTTCTTGCTGCCTGCTGGTCCAGCCTTAAACCCTAAACCCTGTGCAGCTTATGCTTCTACATGCTGGTCACGGTTTAGGGTTTAGGGTTTAGGGTTTAGGGTTTAGGGTTTAGGGTTTAGGGTTTAGGGGTCGAAGGAAGCGAATCTCACGGAGAAGATCCGCAATCTGCCGCGCTGAACCCGAAACCCTGAAGCCGAAACTAAACCTTAAACCCTAAACCATCAACCCCAAACCAAGCCCCAAACCCTAAACCCTGTAAAGAATATACACCTGCACAGTCTAAAACCCCAAAAATCCTCAAATCCTAAACCCTTTAAACCGATAGAGCCGAAACCCCTTTGAATCCAAAACCCTATAAATAAACCCAAACCCTTATACAACTCCAAAACCCCTAGAAACCTGCAAAACCTCAGCCCTCTAAGCCTCAACCCGATACATCTTATCAACCCTAAATCCCCGAACCCTAAACCCTAAACCCTACAAACCCTATAAGCCCTATAAACCCCTAGAAACTCTAAAAACCCTACAAACCCTATAAACCCCATAAACCCTCAAAATTTTCCATAAACCCTAAAAACCCTATAAACCCTAAAAACCCTATTAACCCTATTAACGCTAAACCCTAACAGGACCTGTGACTCCAAACCCTACTAAAATAGTAGGTTATGACCCCTTAATTAGAGGGTCTGACCCTTAAAACGGTAGGTTTTTGGATCCCCAGGGAAGCCTAAATCCTAAAACCGACTCCCGGACGCTCAGCTGCGAACCGATGTCTCAGCAAGGAAGGTCACTGGAGTGTCCGGTGCCACCTCAGCTGTGTTTAGGGGTTTGGGAGTTTAGGGGTTTGGGGTTTTTAGGGGTTTAGAGGCTTAGGGTTTCGGGGTTTAGGAGTTTAGGGTGGGGCACTTCTTCCAAGAAGGGGGCACCCTTCCAGATCCCTCAAAGCAACCCTTAAAGGAGGAACCCTAAGCGCCCAAAAAGGAATCCTTGGCAGGAATCCCTTGAACTAACCCCAAAAAAAGCCCAAAAGGAGTTCTTAAAGGAACCCTATGACCTATGAACCCTATAACCCAAAAAACCCAAAAGGAGCCCATAAAGGAACCTTATGAGCCCTTATAGATCCCTTTGAGGGAACCCTTGCAGAACCCTCTGAGCTCAGAGACTCCATTATCCCTGAGTTACGGAATATCCCTGAATTTGAAGTAGGATCCCGAATATGCCTTAAGGTATATTCCGGAATTAAGGGATACAGCTTTAAATTATAGCAGGGTCCTTAATATGATTTTAAGAAATATTCCTTAGTTAAGGGATATTGGAGTCTCTGGGAGGAACCCTGCCGTGCCCCAAGGAAGGGCGCCCGGGCGATCTCCAGCAACTTCTCTTGGAAGTCCATCAGAGAAGGCCGCCCCGCCTGGTACTTGGAGGCTCACGGAGTTCACGGGTAATTTTTAAGGGTTCCTTTAAGGGCCCCTTGAAAGGGATCTATAGGGACTCTATAAGGGTATAGGGTTTAGGGCCTACTTGGAGGTTCATGGGTAGTTATAAATAGGGTTGGGTAACTATACCTATAACCCATATTAGGGGACTTATAACCCTACTTATAACTACCCATGAACCTCCAAGCAATCTGGGGGTTAGTGCTTTGGTCACCCTACTTAGAACCCTGCTTATAACTACCCAGGAACCTCCAAGTAGGCGTTCAATGTTTTGGTGCAGGGCTAGGTCTTTGGGGGTAATATGGGATTCCTTTAAGAGTCCTTTAGAAGGGGTTCTATAATGCGCTTGAGAGTCTGCGGTTTAGGGATTTAGGGGTTTAGGGCTTCAGGTGCTAGGGCTTAGGATTCAGGTTTAAGGCTCAGGCTAAGGAATGTGCTTGTCGTGGGTTGGGATGAGGGCCTGGCCTTAGTCATACCATGGTGACGACGGTGCTGATCCTGATGGTCGTGATGATGACACTGGCGACTGCGACGACAACGACGTCGACGAAGACGATGGCAATGGTAGTTCTTCTGCCGTTATTCATCTTGTCTGGCATTTCAGCCCGTTGCCGAAACACCGCCCATGCTAGCTTACATGTCAGGCTGACGAACAAGTAAACTTGAATACATTTAACGGCCCTCACGATGCCACTACAGTTGCATGGCCTTGCCATTTGTTCTGGCTGTGGAAGCCATTACTGTCGGCGTCATCTGTGTTACGATCTGTGAGAAGGTCTTGGCTGCTCCTGCCACGGGAAAGGTCCGCCTTCGCTAGCATCCGAATGTCACGATTAGGTGCCATGGCTATGGCAATCGGAGCGCAGCTCATTTTCAAAGGGGAAAAAGAAGGACCCTCAATGGGGACCCCTGGGACCCTATAATGGGCAATATACTGGGTATATAATAGCTATATTAAGGGTATATAACCTAGGGGTCCTTATTAAGGGTCCCTCCTTTTACCCTTGGACATTTCTGGCTGGTGATTCTACTAGGACAATCGGACGTGCTTATCCATGTTGTTGACAGTGGCTTTGCCATAGGGAAACCTGTGGCAGTGCAACACGTCTATAAACTACGGCTTTGAGGATCAAGGTTCAGGGCATATGTGTGTGTGTGTATATATATATATATATAGATAGATAGATATTAAGCATGTGTATAAGGTTTGGGGTTTGCCTAATCCTTGAGGCTACTATCTGTCCAAATAGTTTGGGATTTAGCCTTGCCGTCGTTGCTGCCACACTTGCGCTGCTACAATTACAAGTCTCATTCCACATTGCCGATACCGCGCACGTCTCGGCTCAGCATAGCTAAGACAAGGGCCGTCCTAGTTCAATACAGTTGTGGGCCACCTGTGTAGCTATGTCAGCATGGTACAAACATGGAGACGTTCAAACGATATGTTCACCAATTGTTCAAAGCCCTAGTTGCAGGGTCAGAGGACTTAGCAAGTACTCATTTTATAGACTATAGACTCAAGTATTATAACACCAATTAGGATCCTGTCTAGGATACTTTGAAGTATAGTTATTACCTAACTACCTAATGACTACGTCCTCTGACTCACCAAATACATTATTGCAGCCCAAACCTTCCTCTGCGAGACGGCTACGATGAATATGCCGATACTCTCAGACCAATTCTACAGCAATGCTCGGAGGTTCATGGGTAGCTATAAGTGGGATTTAAATCCCCTAGTATGGGTTATAAGTATGGTTTCCCTACTTATGACCCTACTTATAACTACCCATGAACCTCCAAGTAGGCCCTAAACCCCATACCCTCATAGACTCCCTATAGATCCCTTTAAAGGGACCCTTAAAGGAACCCTTAAAAATTACCCGTGAACCTCCAAGTAGTCAACCCGCAACAAAGTCATGCCTCAACTCTAGGGCTCGTGAACGCTGCATCCGAAAAGAAACATTAAGGACCCGTCAGAGCTCTGAACACTCTTTATTACGGAACAAGTAGAGACTTAATCCCCAAACCCCCAAACCTAGACCCTGAACCCCCAAAGCGCAAACCCGAACCCCTAGACCATAAACCCTAAACCCCAACCTAAGAATGAGAACGCGAAAGCAGAGGGCCTTGAGCGTCAACGGCGTGAAGAGCGGCACTTGGACGCTGACGCGCCCATCTTTGTCAGTCCTAACTTGGAGGGTCGGGGGACTTAGTAACTGGTTATTTTAAGGACTTATAAGTACCATAACCCCAATTAGGGTCCCTTTTAGGGTACTTATAAGTCTATATACTTACTACCTACTTACTAAGTGCCCCGACCCTCCAAGAATGGGGGACTTAGAAGGCTTGGCGCAAAGTTTTGCAGGGCTGTGTACAGGGGGCGTTATACTGGCTTCAACAAGGGTCTTGAGAGGCTTTATCAAGGTCTTCACCATCGCTACTGCTTTTTTATGGTTGCTACATGTAGCTCAAAGGCCTATTTACAGGATCTTTGAGAGCTTTTGTATGTGTCGTTGAGGGCCCGCGCCGGGTTCACGTGGTAGCAGCTGGACACTGCCATGTGTGGTGGGACTGGCGCCAGTAGTCCAGATCCCCGGTGGTGTAGTCGACCAGTGTCCAGGACCGAGCCGGCTGGCGCTTTCGCTTGGCCTTGTTGCTCATAGTTTCTCTCATCTCTCTGTTCGTTCACCCCATGTGCCCGCATAGAGCGACAATGGAGAAAATGGCCCGACTCATCAGCATCAAGTTGTGGAGCATTTTATGGTAAGCTCGCCTTAAGCAACCCTAAGGAAAAGTTATTCCCAATCATTCGGGCTCCGGTACCCTAAACCCTAAACCCCTAAACCCCTAAACCCATAAACCCCTAAACCCCTAAACCTCTAAACCCCTAAACCCTAAAACCCTAAACCCCTAAACCCCTAAACCTCTAAACCCCTAAACCCTAAACCCTAAACCCTAAACCCTAAAACCCTAAAACCCTAAACCCCTAAACCCCTAAACCTCTAAACCCCTAAACCCTAAACCCCTAAACCTCTAAACCCCTAAACCCCTAAACCTCTAAACCCCTAAACCCCTAAACCCCTAAACCCTAAACCCCTAAACCCCTAAACCCCTAAACCCCTAAACCTCTAAACCCCTAAACCCCTAAACCCCTAAACCTCTAAACCCCTAAACCCTTAAACCCTAAACCCTAAAACCCTAAAACCCTAAACCCCTAAACCCCTAAACCTCTAAACCCCTAAGCCCTAAACCCCTAAACCTCTAAACCCCTAAACCCCTAAACCTCTAAACCCCTAAACCCCTAAACCCCTAAACCTCTAAACCCCTGAACCCTAAACCCTAAACCCTAAACCCTAAAACCCTAAAACCCTAAACCCTAAAACCCTAAAACCCTAAACCCCTAACCCCTAAACCCCTAACCCCTAAACCCTAAACCCTAAACCCCTAAACCCCTAAACCCTAAACCCCTAAACCCCTAAACCTGGTGGCACGCTCGGGCACTCTGAGGGCCACGCTCACCATGCGCAAGGACGGAATGGTCCGCAGCCTGGACCTGGGATGACGTCAGAAGTCGGAGAGTTTTTTCTTTTCTTTTGTTTAGGGTTTAGGGTTTAGGGTTTAATTAGGGTTAAGGGCTCTTTTCCACCTGCAGGTACAGCTAGAACTCCTGTGCAAGTCTGAGAGTTCAGGAGTCTTTTTGTTAAGTGCAATGGTCTCTTTCTGTGCTGCGGGACGCTGCGTGAAGAAACCTGCCACACGAACGGGGCTTACACTGCGTTTAGGGTTTAGGGGCTTAGGGTCGGATTTCCTCTGGGGTTTAGGACGTTTTGTCCCTACTAGGAGGTTCACGACGTTTTATCCCTACTTGGAGGTTCATGGGTAGGTGTAAGTGGGGTTATAAGTCCCCTAAGATGGGATATAGGTGTAGTTACCCACGTACAACCCCCACTCATAACTAACCATGAGCCTCCAAGTAGTCATGATCTAAATGAAAAACCCTAATCTGAAACCCGGTGTCTCTTCATTAAGCTCCTAAATCAGCCCCTAAATCCCTAGAACCCTCATAATCCCCTTGTAGAACTTTTTAAAGGAACCCTTACGGTACCCCCGTTTGTGACGCTTTGTCTCTTGTGTAGGGGCCTGAATAATGAGAATGGGGTTTTGGGGGGGACACCCAAATTCGAATTAAAGCCCCTTACATTAACAGAACCCTTGTTATAGACCCCTTGTTGTCCGTAAACGCTGAACCCCGAAAACCCTGTTAGTAAGGCCCCTACATTACTTTCAACTTTCCATCCCAATAAGCCACAGCAAAAAAGTTAAATTAGGTATTCGGGATCCGAGATTACCTTATAATATCTTATAATAGCCCTTATAGTAGCCCTTGTATACCCCTTTAAAGGAACCCTAAGGAATCGTATTAGAACCTATTTATGCCGACATTAGCTGCTGCCAACCCGATACCCCTATGGTACCCATATATAGAACCCTTTGAAGGAACCCTTATAGTACCCTGTAAAGGAACCCTTATAATACCCTGTTAAGGAACCCTTACGGTTGATGATATAAATCCTGCATTACCCATAATAAGGAATATACCATAATTCACATCGTCTAGGGTCCTTAAGGTAATGCAGGATTTACATCATCAACCGTATAACCGCTACATTAGCTATATAGAACCCTTTGAAGGAACTCTTATAGTACCCTAACCCTTGTAATTCCCTTTTCAGGAACCCGCCTTATAACCCCTACATTAGCGGCTGCCCGAGGCTCGGTGAGCTGCGCAAAGGGCAGCGGCCACTCTAGCTCGTTGTGCACGAGCACGTGCGCCATGACCTGGTTTGGGGCACCTTTAGGGCCCTTTCCCAGATAAACCCTAAACCCTAAAACCAAAAAAAACCTAAACCCTGAAATCGTAAAACCCTCAACCCTAAACCCTAAAATCCTAAAACCCTAAACCCTAAAACCCTAAACCCTAAACAGGGTCCATATACACTACAACTATGGACTTAGGTGCCGCAAGACCATCGCTATTGTGGCTTTAAGGACCTAATTCCACAATGGTAGTGTATGTGGACCCTTTGGGTTTAGAAGCTCTCATCATGATAAGTAGAAGAATACTCCTAACAATACGAATGCTGATACTAAGAACGATTATGGTACTATAGGGCCTTGAAAGCTCTTCTACGAAGTTAGAATCGGCTGCTAGTGGTTAAAAATACTATAGCAATCGCCTGCACATGGTAAAAAATCGCTGCAGAAATAGACTTGGGTTCCTTTGAGGCTTCCATTTCAGGTTTTATCATGAAGGGTTCTTTACACACCGCCCAGGTAGCACAGGCCTTGTATGGGCTCTTTGCAGCTGGACTAGGGTGCGGGGATTTGGCCCCACTTGTTTGGGGGTGTCGAAGACAGGGTGTGTAACGGGCTTGGCCCTCATCCCTGTTCAGGGTTACCCTTGTAGAAAGCTCCAGACATGTCTTGGAGAAAGCCGTGCAGAAAGCTGTTCGAACCCTTATACAGAACCTTTGCGGAAAGCCCCATAGAAACTGTTTAGAACCTCATAAAAACCCTTATAGAAAGTCTCAAGAACCCTTCTAGACAGCTGCATAGAAAGCCCTGAGACCCCCTAAGCCTGGCACTAGCTCCTTAAACCCTAAAACATCCCGAAACCTCCGAAACCCTAATCCCGAAGTCCCCAAACCCTAAACCCTAAAGCCCTGTTCAAGGTTCAGGGCCTGAGGCATCGATGCACAGAGCCGCTTCATCACCTCAGCTGGCGGATATCAATCAGGGATTTTAGGGTTTAGGGAAGTGAGTGCGTTTCTGGGGCTTAATATAGGGTACTACGTCCCTTATAGGCCCAATGCCACCATTATGGTATAAGATTTGCCCCCAAAATTTTATTCTATTTATTCAGGCCCCTTCTTCGGCGGTTTAGGTCTCTAGGGTCCTGACTTGCGTGCTGCCCCATGCAGCAACAGTCTAAAACAAGGGTACTAGTAATTAAGGGCGCTGTATACCTATAGAAAACGTCGGCAGCATCCAAGTTATGACTATGTTGTTCATAAGGGTTTCATCTAGTTTTACGGCGTTTCACAGATTCCGCAACGTGTTTTAGATTCGGCTACGCGTTCAGGGCTTAGGGTTGAGGGACGGGGTATAGGGCTAGGGGTTTGGGTCCAGGCTTTTTGGACTCGGGTTTAGGGATTAATTGGTTTCGGGTCTGGGTTTCAAGGGCGCAGAGTTTAAGGTAGGCTTAGGGCGTCGGCGAAGGTTTGGGGTGTGTATGAGGAAGAAGAGGATCAACTCTGGCGAATATGTTCATCGACAAGGCTATGGTACTGTATATCAGGTTAGTCTTTGGATATGGTCTGACACTGACATAATTACCGTCATTTATGGTGGTCGTTTTGCAAATTGGCCTTACACTTTAGGACTCTACTCCATTTTGCACTATGGCGTATTATTCTGAAAGTGTCGATGAAGTATAGCATTCTCGATGGGTCCCAACGCTCCAACTTCATGTTGTGAGGTTCTGGGATGTAGCAAACCTGTTAGGCCCAAACAATTCACACTGTAAACCTCATACTGTCTAAACCACAAATCGCAAACCAGTGTGTTTTATTGACTGGACGTCTACGTCAAGCGGGCGAGCCCCCATCTAGAACAAAACTGACAAAACCTTCCAAAAGCCGTTCAAAACCCCTGGTCTTATGATTCGGACCTGAGCCTCAACAATCAGAAATCCTCGACCCCCAGATAAACCCTCAAAATGAACCCTTACATGACCCCTTTAGAGGAATCCCGCCCAGCCACATTGTCCATCGAAGGCCAGGCGCGGCTCTTGAGCTTTGAGCTCAGGCAGACACCTTAGCAAAGAGCTTAGGGATCAGGATTTTGGGCTTTAGGGTGTTTGGGTGCTTCAGGGCTCCAGAGTCTTAGGATCTTCGCCGCATGGGGTGCAGGGTTTAGGGTTTCGTAAGGTTTCTACTACTATACATAGACATAGAGTGGTAGGTTCTGCAATAGCTGTACAAGGGTGGATAAGCGGATACTACACCAGAACTCATTGGGTGTATTTTGCTTCGATCATTCAATCGGGAATACAACTGCATGCTTTAGACTAGCTCTATCGGGTTACTGGAAGGCGCAGTTGTTACATACTCTTTTGCTACTGTAAATACTATAGCTTCTACATGACTAGGACAAACAAACTCACTGCATGATGCAAAGTCTTGAGTCTTGATGATACAAGTTCGAAGCTGGGCTGCTCGTATTGTTGACCAAGCATGCCCTGAGACCAAAACCCCCTCTCTCTTCTATTTCAATCCTGACTTCAAGTCCGCACGCATCACAACAAAGACGAACAACTCTGAACACGATGTGGGCCTCTATCAGGAGGCTGCGGCTATAGGGTAGAGGTGGTGTAGGATTTTGGATGGGCCCTGGGCTTCTGGGCGAAGGTCTCTGAGTCGAAACTTTTTGAGGCTTAAAAAACTAGCACAACACGACTTCCTAAAACCCCATAACCCCAATTTGGGTCCCTTTTAGGGTACTTCTAAGTCTACTTACTCCCTACTTACTGAGTCCCTGAACCCTAAACCCTAAACCCTATAGTAACTCTATAGAGCCCTTTAAAGGAACCCCTAGAATCCCCTTTAAAGGAGCCCCCTACTTACTAAGTCCCCTAAAGACCCTCCAAGTAACCCTGCGTAAGTCCCAAGGCCGAAGGATCGAATGATGAATCCTACCCAGTAAGAGGCTTCTGCCCTCCTCGGCCCTCAAGTAAAGGGTTTAGGGTTTAGGGTTTAGGGTTCAGGGTTCAGGGTTTAGGGTTTAGGGTTTGGGGTTCAGGGTTCAGGGTTTAGGGTTTAGGATTTAGGGTGTAGGGTTTGGGGTCTACGTCCCTGGGCCCAAACCCTAAACCGCAAAGCCGAAACCCTCCACACGTGACGAAACCCTAATGCTGAAGCGTCTCTAAGAAAAACCTGTAGCTTTAAGAAACCACAGCGGATTTGAACCGCTGCTAAGGGTACCCTGAACATTACTTGGAGGGTCGGGGGACTTAGTAACTGGTTATCTTAGGCTCTTATAGGTACCATAACCCCAATTAGGGTCCCTTTTAGGGTACTTCTAAGTCTACTTACTACCTACTTACTGAGTCCCTGAACCCTAAACCCTAAACCCTATAGTAACTCTATAGAGCCCTTTAAAGGAACCCCTAGAATCCCCTTTAAAGGAGCCCCCTACTTACTAAGTCCCCTAAAGACCCTCCAAGTAACCCTGCGTAAGTCCCAAGGCCGAAGGATCGAATGATGAATCCTACCCAGTAAGAGGCTTCTGCCCTCCTCGGCCCTCAAGTAAAGGGTTTAGGGTTTAGGGTTTAGGGTTCAGGGTTCAGGGTTTAGGGTTTAGGGTTTGGGGTTCAGGGTTCAGGGTTTAGGGTTTAGGGTTTAGGGTGTAGGGTTTGGGGTCTACGTCCCTGGGCCCAAACCCTAAACCGCAAAGCCGAAACCCTCCACACGTGACGAAACCCTAATGCTGAAGCGTCTCTAAGAAAAACCTGTAGCTTTAAGAAACCACAGCGGATTTGAACCGCTGCTAAGGGTACCCTGAACATTACTTGGAGGGTCGGGGGACTTAGTAACTGGTTATCTTAGGCTCTTATAGGTACCATAACCCCAATTAGGGTCCCTTTTAGGGTACTTCTAAGTCTACTTACTACCTACTTACTGAGTCCCTGAACCCTAAACCCTAAACCCTATAGTAACTCTATAGAGCCCTTTAAAGGAACCCCTAGAATCCCCTTTAAAGGAGCCCCCTACTTACTAAGTCCCCTAAAGACCCTCCAAGTAACCCTGCGTAAGTCCCAAGGCCGAAGGATCGAATGATGAATCCTACCCAGTAAGAGGCTTCTGCCCTCCTCGGCCCTCAAGTAAAGGGTTTAGGGTTTAGGGTTTAGGGTTCAGGGTTCAGGGTTTAGGGTTTAGGGTTTGGGGTTCAGGGTTCAGGGTTTAGGGTTTAGGGTTTAGGGTGTAGGGTTTGGGGTCTACGTCCCTGGGCCCAAACCCTAAACCGCAAAGCCGAAACCCTCCACACGTGACGAAACCCTAATGCTGAAGCGTCTCTAAGAAAAACCTGTAGCTTTAAGAAACCACAGCGGATTTGAACTGCTGCTAAGGGTACCCTGAACATTACTTGGAGGGTCGGGGGACTTAGTAACTGGTTATCTTAGGCTCTTATAGGTACCATAACCCCAATTAGGGTCCCTTTTAGGGTACTTCTAAGTCTACTTACTACCTACTTACTGAGTCCCTGAACCCTAAACCCTAAACCCTATAGTAACTCTATAGAGCCCTTTAAAGGAACCCCTAGAATCCCCTTTAAAGGAGCCCCCTACTTACTAAGTCCCCTAAAGACCCTCCAAGTAAGTAACCACCACAACTTTTGGAGAATCAGCGAAGTCGCAGTTGAAGTCCGGCTCCAGCTGCGAGAGCGGGAAAGCACCCCAGGGCCGGAGAGGAGCCTGTGTCTAGGATTTAAAGTAAGAGGTTTTAGGCTTCTAAACCCTAAACCCTAAACCCTAAACCCTAAACCCTAAGAAGTTTTAGGATTTTGTCTTTTTTGAAGCTCCTTTTTCCTAAAGTCCCAAGCAGCGACGCCAGAAAGGCCTCCAAAAGGCCAGGAGGGACGGCGAAGTTTTAGGGTTTAGGGTTTAGGGTTTCTGAGAGGGTGTACTAAACCCCAAACCCTACAGCCCCATTTATGAGTACCCATGAACCTCCAAGTAGGGGCATGTCGCCTGATGCTACTGTGTCTAGGATTTAAGGTAAGAAGTTTTGAAGTGCCTTCAGCTTTTCTTTGAGGGTGTTATTTCAAGAGCTCTGTAAGGGTTGCAAAATGAAGGTTTGGGTGTTTGAAATGCTTCAATGATTGCGTCTAACTTTGTTCACGCGCGCTTGATGGGTTCCTGCAGGAGTTAAGAAAGGTTCTCTCACGGTTCTAACTATAATTACCCAGGACTACTGTACCCCATTGTACCCTGAATAAAGTAAACTCTAAACCCATGGCTCCAGATGCTGAGACCAAGAGAAACCTTGAAAAGCCCTTCTATAACAAAAAGCACCCTCATAAGACCCCTAGTTCTAGCACACCCTGATTCAACTCTCATCACAGTCCTCATTCGAAAATGAACAAGAACTTCCTGCAAACCCTCGTGCAGCCCCGGAAGAACCTCACAAAACCCTGTGAGATCCTTCCAAAACAGTTACAAAGCCCATTTAAAAAAAAACACTCGAACCGCCATAGAAGGCAGAAAGCCATTTACCAAAATTCCCGAAGCCCTAAACCCTAAACCCAAAATTCCCGAAGCTTGGGAAGATGTTGGGAGCAAGGGCCTCGCAGCACATGTAGACCTCGAAGGATCCGATCCCTGAGCGCAATTTTTGGCGAGACCAACTTACAGTACCCCTTTAAGGGCTTTAGGGGTTTAGGGTTTAGGGTTTAGGGCTTTAGGGGTTTAGGGTTTAGGGGTTTAGGGTTTAGGGTTTAGAGTTTAGGGTTCGTTAAAGGGAACTCCAGAAAGTTGGAATATGGATTAATGGTAGGATCCCCTATAATTTTACCTTAAAGGGGTTACGATAATGATATTCCAACTTTCTGGCTTCTACTGTAAGGGCTTTATGGTTTTCGGGGTTCCTTTAATATAAAGGTTCCTTTGCGGGTGCTTTTAAGAGGTTTATAATAAAGTTTAGGGTTTAGGGCACAAGGGTTCAGGGCTTTAGGGTTTAGGGCAGGCGGGTTTCACAAGGGAATCGGAGGAGAACCAGTAAGGGTGCTGTATAAGGGGTGTAGCGTTTGGGGGTTTAGACTTTAGACAACGGTTGCACAAGGAACTTGAGGGAGAACCAGTTTACTCTCTAGTGCAAAAGGGGCTGCCTTTTAGTTCAAAGCGGGCAGGTTCAGAAATCGTTTTGCAAAGCTTGTAGCAGATGAACCTGACATCCCAGAGTCAGATAAGTCTGAGAGCTCCACAAAGAGCACACTTCGGCTCCTTAACATGACTTCCCTGTATGAGCCTTTAAACAGGTAAGTGGATTGGCAGTAGCGGCCAAAATGCACCGTAACCGTAAAGCCCTATACACTCCGAGGCACTAAGGCAGTTGCTGGGCAGGGCGATTCAATGTATCAACTCTTCGGAACGGTTCCTCACACTGGAACCAAACAAGAGCGTCCTTGGTCAATGTGGCCGTTGTGAGGAGGAACTTCCAGGGCCGCTTTTTCAAGGAGAATTGCTGCAGGAGATAGCATGATAGCCTCGTCAGGCACCAAAACCTGGATAATTATTGGAAGGACTCATCCACAGCAGATCGTGCCAAGATGTGAGCATCAATTGCTCGTGACAGCGGCTGAGCTTGAGGCGGCAAGGAATTCTTCTCAATGAGACTCCCGGGCAGTCCGTCCGGTACTGGTCGAGTCGGCGCTGTGGCAAGGACTCCTGGGTATTGCTCTTGCAATTTCCAAAGTAAGAGTTGCCCTTTGCCAGTGCCTGTGGCGGCTTCTACGGCGACAATCCCATGATGTTACCACAAAAATAGAGAGTGTATCTGCTGGACACAGCGAGCCCATTCCGCCTCATTGAGTGGGGTCGGCAGTGCCTCTGGTGGGTGGAGGACATGTTGATTTGCGCCAACCGGGGCTGCCAAAGCAAATAGCTTGTAAATAACCTTAAATCCTAGCAACCCCAAACCCTAAACCCTAAGGAACCCTAAAGAACCCTAAACCCTAAAGAACCCCTAACCCTAGAATTTCTCAGGAAATAAAGCAAAGGCCGTCGAAGCCGGGGTGCGTCGGGTCGGCTCCACTCCGAGATCGCCGCGCTGTGCTTTCTTGGGCTCCTCTGCTGCGGCGCTTCCGCTTCTTGGGGCGTCTGGGTTCATGGTTAAAGGGTTTAGGGTTTAGAGTTTATAGGATAAGGGCTTAGGGATTAGGACTTAAGAGTTCAGGGTTTAGGGTCTAAGGGTCAAGGGCTTAGGGTTTAAGGTCTACGGGTTTTGGGGTTTAGAGGTTCAGGGGTCTAGGGGGTTTAGGGTTTAGGAAATAGCGGTGTTTGGGGTTCCTAGGGCTTCTGATACCCCTAGGGCTCCGGTTACCTGAATGGTAGGCTACTGGGTAGTCAAGAGGGGTCTCTTTTAAGGGGTCTACCGAGTACTAGCTGACCTTGTATAAATCCGATAAGCTGGGTGACATAATACATGGTTAGTAACCTACTAATTTAGGCAACTGGAGCCCTAGGGATAGGCTGGGATAGCTCCTGGCGGAGCGAAGGTAGCCGAGATGCAGGCATACGTACCACCTACAAACAGTGGGTGCATTCTGGGTATTGAAAATTTGGATTTTCGGTGGCAGGGTGGTGCCAGCGGAGCCCTGTGCGGATCGTGCTGCGCCGGAATTTCATGTGAAGTCATGGGTCGGCCGAGCAGATCTCCCTCCTTTGTGAAAGCGGATCCCTGATCCCTCGTCTACCCTCGTCTACGTCTCCGGCCGAGTAGAGAAGTCGCATACTGCAACTTTGCGAAATCACCGTTGACCGGGATCTCACCGCCAGCAGCGTCTGTATAGGTTCCGTGCAAACCCCCACAAAATCTACAAGGAAGCCCCCATAATACCCTTTTAAGGAACCCTAAACCCTAAACCATAATACCCTTTTAAGGAACCCTCAACCCTAAACCATAATACCCTTTTAAGGAACCCTGAACCCTTACAAGGAAGCCCCCATAATGCCCTTTTAAGGACCCCTAAACCCTAAACCATAATACCCTTTTAAGGAACCCTGAACCCTTACAAGGAAGCCCCCATAATACCCTTTTAAGGAACCCTGAACCCTTACAAGGAAGCCCCCATAATACCCTTTTAAGGACCCCAAGAGCCCCGAAAGCTTAAAAAACCGAAGACCCCGGAAGTCCTCCTCGGGGCGCGCCTCGGCGCCTGCCGGGCACCGGAGCTCCAAAACTCTTTGGCTTAGGATTTAGGGATCTATAGGGTTCTGTAGGGGTTCCTTTAAGGGTTCCTTTAAGGGATCTATAGGGGTTCCTTAGGGGTTTGGGGGTTTAGGGGTTGTTAGTTTTTGGCTTAGGGTTTAGGGATCTATAGGGCTTAGGCTTTTTAAGGGCTCCTATAAGGGATCTATAGGGTGTAGGATTTAGGGGTTTAGGGCTTCCTTTAAGGGATCTATAGGGGTTCCTTTTTATAGGGGTTCCTTTAAGGGATCTACGGGGTTTAAGGGTTTGGGGTTTAGGGGTTTAGGGGTTTGGGGTTGAGGGTTTCAGGTTCAGGGCTGAGGGAATGAAGTTTAGGATGGAAGGTTTGCTGTACCTGGACCCTAAGGAACCTACCTTTTTAGGGCCCCTTAATAAGATTTCTTTATATAAGTCCCTAAAAAGGTAGGTTCCTTAGGGTCCAGGTAGGCTTTGGGGATCAAAGCTTCCAGGGTTTAGGGTTCAGGGTTTCCAGGGTTTAGGGATCAGGGATTAGGGTTCAGGGTTTAGGGTCTAGGCCTCTGTCTTCGGTCTTCAAAAGCTTCTATACTGAACGACCCCTAGCAAAAAGTTACAGTTCTAGATATTTCTCATGGCTTATAGGAACCAATAAATCAAAACGATGTCTAAGTTTCCCTGAGGCTTGGCTCTGTTGCTGAATCTTACATTGTGATGATGTGCATGTGTATTGTTATTGTTTAATGGCGTTGCTATCATTATTGGAAGGATTAATTTCTGCTAAGAACATTGCTGGTTATTTCTATGGGGTCTCTCATCACAACAGCTTCCCAGACATCGTCATAGGATCATAGGAGTTTATAGACTTTGACCTCAGGCTTGCTCAAGGTTCAGTGTTCAGGGTGTTGGGCTTACCGCTTGGGGCTTTGGGGATTCGGGGGGCGTGAGGACAAGAAGCACAGAAATAACGACAAAGGCAAGAGACGCCAGAAGAAACATGGTGTAAGCGGTCACGGATGAATATCTCAGCCTTTACTGCTGGATCCAAAACACGGGCAGCTAACATGTGTAAAGAGCCTGAAGTTGGAATGATGTATCGCTTCCTGGCGCTGCCATCATGTGCAACTAATCTGCGTGGTAGACTGGTAGACTCTCCTACACTTAGACCGGGAAAAACCCTTGATGGGCTGCGTGTCACGTGGCTCCCGTGTGCTGGTACCAGACTGCTCGGGGAATTTAGGTGTTGGCATCTGGTTCTTAACCTCAAGACGACTTGGATAATCGAGAATATCGATACGCGGCGATAGCACGTTCATCGTATGCAAAAGCTCCTCCTCAGTTGGAGCCACACTCCTGAAGATGTCTAACCTCGGTCCCCTTCGAAAGCTGATGCCACAACCCTAAAGACCCGAACACCCTAAATGGCGTTGTAGGCCCGACCTGCATACTATGAAACCCATATGTGTAATCCTCTACACTGAAAGCAGAACTACTGTACATAGGGGCCATACTCATGGATTTTGGTGTACTTTATACTATAATTAGAATCAGAAGTCCCAAAAATAGCATAGCCCCTTTATGAACCATATTCCCCCGCTTCAACCCTTGTTCAACTGCCTTTGGGCTCGACCAGCATGGCGATGCCGATGCCGGTGGGAAATCGCTCTTCGATTTGCTCCTGCACCCCGGCTTAGGATTTAGGGAATTTAAGAAATTTAGGGAATGCTGGGGATGTACGGAGGTATGTCAAGCTGAAATGGGACATGGCACAGCTTCTGTGAAATTCTGCAGGAGTTTTGGTCGGCTGGTGTGGCAAAGTTGCTGGTCTCTCTAGGGGTTTTACCAGGGTTTCCATTGGGCTTAAAGTGCTGACGGTACGCAGCAGGCCGTTTAAGGCTTCGGGCTTTAGGGCTTCTTCAATGGAGGGTCTCGGACTGCCTGTAATCTGATTGAAAGAACTGCCACAAGAAACAACATAACAAAAAGATGCCGACCGATAACAAGACGATGAAAGAACTACCAGAACCTGCAAGCTAGAATAATACAGAGGCCTTGATTTTCATCAGTATTTGGGGTTCCTTATCAAGGCTGTAGTATGGATGGGCCTCAAAGCCCTATTCTAATTATTAAGGCCCCTTTAATATAGAACCCATATTATAGTATACTACAATTCGAAAAAAGAATCCCAAAACCCCCTTCTATACCCTGGCTCCTGCAACCCTGAACCCCAAAAAAACTCTCGCTCCTTGAGCTTCTGGTAGCGGCCCAGGTAGTTGGTTTCGTCATGGCGAACCGACGGCCCGTGTTGGGCACAGTCCGTGCAAGACTCCACCACGACCTGGGGCTTGCTTGGAGGTTCATGGGTAGTTATGTATAAATAGGGTTATCAGTAGGGTAGCTATACTTATGACCCATATTAGGGGACTTATAACCCCACTCATAACTACCTCTAAACCCAATAACCCTACTAGACCCTAAACCCTGGAGCCGTCAAAGGACCCCCTTCTTTTCGGAAACTCTAAACCCTAAACCCTTCATAGAACTCTTATAGATCCCTTTAAGGAACCCTTAAAGGATCCCTTTAAAGGAACCCCTTATTTTCGGAAACTCCCACCTGGGGCTCGGGACTTGCGGTCAAGAGCTTCGAGGCGGGGCTTTATGGCTTCAGGATTTCAGAGTTTGGGGCTTCAGGGCCTAGGGTTCAGGGGTTTGGGGTTTAGGGTTTAGGGTTTAGGGTTTTAAGGGTTTAGGGTTTTAGGGTTTAGGGTCTAGGGGTTTGGGGTTTAGGGCTTGGGGCTTGTACTTGGAGGGTCGGGGGACTTAGTAAGTAGGTAGTAAGTAGACTTATAAGTACCCTAAAAGGGACCCTAATTGGGGTCATGGTACTTATTAGTCCCTAAAATAACCAGTTACTAAGTCCCCCGACCCTCCAAGTAGGGTTCAGGGTTGAGGGTTTGGGGCCTTAGGGCCTTGAGGGATGCATGGCTTAAGGGGCTCAGGGTGTGGATGTTGTTACGGGCTCAGGGTTCCAAGGATTCAATTAGAATTTGTGGGATCCGGCTGGGGAGCGGCCTCATCTCATTTAAACATTACCAAAGCAGGCCAGCAGGAAAACTCCCATAAGGCCCCATGCCTGATCAAAACGTAGCCTGAACTAACTAAACTAAACACGAACTGTGCCGTAATTATGCTGACATTATGCGTCTTGTTGAACAGCCATCGTGTCCTTTGCTGTGAGAGAGAATGTGTGTGTGTGTGTGTGTGCATGGGTTTCAAAAAAGCCCTAGGTCAGATATCTATTCCATTAGGGTCATTAGGGGTTAGAGAGAGCTTTGGTGGCATACGCATGCCAGCACTACTTAAGAGGTTATTTGTTCCAGGTTAATTGTTGTAGGCACGAACATTATAAGTACAGCGTTGATTAGTTGTCCACTGGATGGCCGGGTAGCCTCAGGTAAACCTCACAGCCGGAAAGTGACTAAGCCTAAGCGCTTTGGTACCCTAAACCCTAAAGCCCTAAACACTAAAGCGTCGACATCCTGGACACGGAGCACACACACACAACTCGTGACTGGTACCACATTCCAATACTCCACGATGAAGGACTCTGAAAGACTATGCCGCTCGGCTCCAGGAAGACCGCAACAACGTCGGTCCCAGAGCCATTCTTGCATTCGGGGAGTACTCCGGAGCATCCTTGTGGGTCTATGATCCCGAAGTGGCAGAAGAGGAATGCCACTGGATGCACGTGGAGACCAAGCTCCGCGGCTACCCACACCACTTTCGGAGTCGACAGAGTCGACCCGAAGTTCATCGAGCGTGGGGACCACCACGTTTTTTTGACGATGCGATCTCGCCCACCGCCGCTTCGAGCCGCCGGAATAGCGTCGTAGGCCGCGGATCTGGCCCTGTAGCTGGCTGCATCGTCGCGTGAGATGCAGCACCAGCCTAGCGATCCCAGTCTCACGAGACTGAACAACAGCTATGGAAAGCAGAGGAATCTTCTTTCTCATGCCTGCTGCTGTTGCTGCTTTCTGAATCTGCTTGGGCTTGGGCTGCTGATACTTTGGCTAGTACTCAGAATATACCTTTACGGTCCCATAGGGGAATACTGTCATGAGTTCTTAAACACTTGTTTGGGTGACTCCCAATGCTCAATAGCCCCTAATCAAGGAATATAGCTGAAAATTTTAAACGCATCCCAAATATGATTTCAGGTATACTCCTTGTTTAAGGAATATACCTTACATTTTGGTAGCATAGTACCTCAAAATTATTAAGGGGTAGTAGAATCCCCTTAACCCTAAACCCTATAGATCCCTTAAAGGGATCCCTTCAAAGGAGCCCTGGGCATTCCTTAATTAAGGCTTGCGCGCCTAAAAAAAACCACCGCTCGAAATGTTGACGACGAGGAAGACAACGATGATGATGAAAATTACGATGGTCACGATGATATCGATGGCGATGGCGATGATGATAACGATGATGATGACGATGATGATAACAATCGTGGTAGCAATGATGATGACCTAGCGATCTGGCAAAGGTGACTGTGCAAAGACCTTTTGCCCCATACCTTTTCCACCCACAAACCTCAACAAACTTGCCGCGACCTTCAAAGTCATCGGCCCCACCAGTGTTTTCGCCTTCTGCCGTAAGACTAGCTTTGCAGCCCAGGTCCGGAGAATAAATTCAGGCCGGCTTTTCCCAGCACACAAAAAGCCCACTGCTCAACACATTGATGACGATGATGATAACGATGATGATGAGAATGATGAAGATGATGGTGATATCGATGGTGGCTGTGAGGATGATAGCGATGTTGACATCGATGATGATAGCACTGATGGTCGCCTAGGGCGCCCAGAAAACTGGACACGAAATCGTGTCCCGTTTTTGCTTCTGCCACAATACCGCTGGGGAAGGTCAACACGTGCGATTTTGCTGCACCTGCCACACTTTTGTACACTTCCCTCGGCCGCTCCTCTGTAGGTTTTGTCTTCAGGGTAGTTTTTTTTAGGCGCGCGCGCCTTAATTAAGGCATCCTCGGGAGCACCCTTGTCCTTTTAGAAATAATAGACAGAGCCCTATACCTATATCCCTTAATAGGAATTATTTAAGAAAGTCTACTAGCCGGTCTGTTTATTCTTTTGGGGGAACCATGAAAAAAGACAAGGGTGCTCGGGAGTCTCTGCGTCTGATGCCGGGCCAGGGCTTTCTTTTAAACCTTCAATCCTACAACTTGGAGGTTCCCTTTAAAGAGCCCCTAAAGGCATCCCGGGTATAGTTATAATTGGGGTTCCTTTAAGGGCTGTATAGGGATTAGGGTTTAGGGTTTAGGGTATAGTAGGATTATAGGGTTTAGGGGTAGTTGTAAGTGGGGTTACAAGGGTTCCTGAAGGGTCCTTTTAAAGGGCACTACAGGGATTTAGTGTCTAGTAGGATTATAGGGTTCAGGGGTAAGTAGCCCCTTTAAAGAGCCCCTAAAGGAATCCCGAACATTCCCTTTAAAGAGTTTCTAAAGGAACCCCTATAACTCTCTTTAAAGGAACCCTTAAACCTGGAAAACCTGAACCCTGCTTGGAGTCATGAGTGAGGTTCCTTTAAGGGCTCTATAGGGTTTAGGGTCCAGTAGGATTATAGGGTTCAGGGGTAATTAGAAGTGCTTTTATAAGTCCCCTAATAGGGGGTTGTAAGTATAGCTACCCTACTGATAAATCTACTTGCAACTACCCATGAACCTCCCAGAAGGGTCTACCGGTAGGCTCATGAGTAGCCATAGCTGGGGATCCCTTTAAGGATTCTGTAGGGTTTAGGGCTTAGTGAATTGGGTTTAGGGTAGATTAACCGAAACATGAGAAAGAGAGAGAGAGAGAGAGAGGCGAAAATAAAATCTAAAAGGAACTGGATGCCCAGTCGTTCCACAAGCCCCGACGACACTGAAACCAAAAGACACCCTCAAGACCCAAGGCACAGAAAGCAGGAAGCACCGTGAGGACACACCCCGCAAACCTCAAAAAAGCCCCGCTGAAAAGAATATGACACCAAAAGCAACACAAAAACAAACTAGCCCTCGAAAGGCCCAGCCTCCTTAGAAGCAGAAAAATTGGAACAAAAAAACATATATATATATATACTAAAAACAAAAATAACAATAATAGCAACATGCTAATTTTAGCAGTTTCTTCGGGGTTCTAATAACCAAAAATTAAAAATCATTTCTAAGTACCCCTAAGTTAAGACTTCCCCAGACTTGCCCTGCTCATCCTGGGTCAACTTCAGCTGCTTGGTTAAGCCCCGGTGGATCTCATCAGCATCATCTTGTTCCCAGCGACTCCAATATCCCTTAATTAAGGAATATGCCCTACATCATATTTGGGATCCTATTCTAATTTAAGCTACCTTCGGGTCACAAGGGCTATTGGAGTCTCTGGGCTCATCAGCATCATCTTGTTCATATGCCTTGGTCAGATCTCACCGCCGCGGCATGCGCCGTCTTGCCCACATAAAGGAGCCCCTCTATAGATCCCTTCAAGGAACCCCGGAAGGTAGCCATCAAAGAAACCCTCTAGGTTCCTTAGAGGAACCCTTGAAGGTATCGAGCCCCTATGGATCCCTTAAAGGAACGCCTAGACGTACCCTTAAAGGAGCCCGTACTTGAGAACTCAAAGACCACATGCGGTGAAGTGGCCCAGACGAAGTTCTCTTGTCCTGGGCAGGGTTTAGGGTTTAAGGGCTTTGTCCTCGGTAGCATGAGCAGTCGTCTAGATTCACATCTATACTATACTGAATCGACTTTGTGAACGCCAGACTCCTATCCGTCTATGCTAAACCTTACAAGCCTTAAGCTCGTATGTTGAAAATGCAACCTTGTGGGGGCTGGCGTTTGAAAGCATCATTCTGCTTCGCCCTCGTGGGAACCAGCACCTAGAAAGGAGCCTGACTTAGCAATAAACGGACCTTGTGGCCTTGCCTGGAGGATCATGGGACTTAGTAAGTAAGGTTCTAAGTACCTTAATTGGGGTTATAAGTAATTATAAGTATAGTTACCTTACTTATAAACCTAGTTACTAAGTCCCATGATCCTCTAAGTACATGCTCACCCTAAAACCCTAAACCCTAAACCCTAAGCCCTAAAACCCTAAGCCGTAAACCCTAAAACCCTAAACTCAGGCCCTAAACCCTAAAACCCTAAACCCGATCCTTTAAGTGTAGACCGTAGAAGCCGATCACAACCAACTCCACGATGGCGGCCCTACAAAGCATGGCCTACTTGTCAGGTATCATGGGGTTTAGGGGTTCCTACTTGTCGGGCATCATGGGGAATTAAAGGCTAACCTTTTTGGGATAGGGGTTGTATAGGGACTATACTACCCAAAAAAGGTTAAAGGTTGGCTACTCTACTACTAGGATAGGTTTAGGGTTGGGGGTTTAAGGTTCAACCCCATCATAGCCACCCTGGTACCCCTAAAGCATACATACACCCCTCAACGCCTCCACCGTTACCCTCTCGCCCAAAACGCCCAGATTGCCGAGTTTGGGCTTAGTTGCCTTCGTCCGCTGCTATCAGTCGGCGCAATCGCTCCTGCGCGGCTTTTTGAGGTTTAAGGCTCAGGGCGGGATAAGGGTGGGCGTGGGGAGTTTTAGGGCTTTAGCGCTCCTTCTGGGTCTCTTTACTGGGGAGTTCAGAGGGTTCTACAGGGTACTTTCGTTGGGGTTTCAAGGTGCAAGGGTTCAAAGGCTTCAGGGATGGGGTTTAGGGCTGCAGGCGTTTGGCGGTTTCAGTGCTTTACCAAATCTGCAGGTTTTGAGCTTCCGGCGTAGAGTCTGGGGTGTGGGGTTCAGGGTCCCCAGCAAGACCGTGGCAGCAGAGATAGAACCCACATAGCAACCCTCAAAGAGCTCTTATGTGTACGAACCTTTGAACCCTTATGGTTTCCCTCAGTATCGCAACCCTTGAAGGAACCCTTCTACTATCCCTTATAGTCACCCTTGAAGGAACCCTCTGTAGCAACCATGCAAGGAACCATAGAAACCCTTTAAGGGAAACGATCCTACGTAGCTGATGCATAGCAGCATAGCACTGCTCTCCTTAATGAAGGAACCCTTATAGTACCTGGTAACCTTTAAGGAGAGCGCTCCTTTGTAGGTGAAGCCTGGTTTGGGGTTTAGGGCGTAGGGTTTGAGGGTTTGGGCGTTCAGGGTGGAGAGTTTTGGTGTGAGTTCTGTGGGGTTTTTAGGAGTTCTAGGGTTTTCAAGGTTCACCGGTTGAGGGCTTCAGGATCCCATACGAATTTAAAGGATCTGGAGGTAAGTAATATAGGGGCCTTAATAGTCAGAATAGGGGTTTCGGGGCCCATTATACTACAGTTATAATAAGGACTCCCCAAAATACTGTTGATGGACAAAATCCTGCATTACCCATTATAAGGAATATACCATAATTACCATAGTTTAGGGTCCTTGGGGTCATGCAGGATTTTGTCCATCAACCGTAGTATAGCTAATTACTAAGGCCCCTACATTACGGGCACTGCAAAGCGAGGCAAGGCTCATTCGAAGGCTACAAACTTTGAACCCCGGCTCCCCGAACCCACGCCCCGGGCCCAAAACTCCACTCAGAGGGTTCAGGGTTTAGGGCTTATAGGGTTTAGGGCTTATAGGGTTTAGGGCTTAGGGTCTGATCAGCACAGAGCTACGGAAGCCGGGCCCTTTCCTTGCAACCAAGCCCTGATTTGAAAGTTTCTTCACAGCTCCACGTCCGCAAGCAGCTAGCACTTTCCACGGGATCCGCAATCTCTAAGCAATATGTTTACGGTGACAAAGACCAGCAGGAGTTGGAGGAGGAGGAGGAGGAGGAGGAGGAGGAGGACGCCGGTAGCTTATTTTTCGATCCTTTTGAGTCGAGTTCTGCCTACGGGATTACTATCGGGAGTAAGGTAATGATCTGCACCAACACTACTCTCCTGTGCGTATAGCACTTCGAGAGCGAAAGAACCCTTAAAGTAGAAGCCAAAAAGTTGGAGCATCACTATCCTCATGCCCTTACTTGGAGGGTCGGGGGACTTAGTAACTGAGTATTTCAGGGACTTATAAGTACCATAACCCCAATTAGGGTCCCTTTTAGGGCACTTATAAGTCTACTTACTACCTACTTACTAAGTCCCCCGACCCTCCAAGTAAGGTAGAGTAAGGGAATTCCAGCACTAATGATCCCAAACCCATGTTCCAACTTGCTGGGGTTCACTATAACTCTAAACCGTTGCTTTGTGGATCTGCCGATCTTGTAGTATCTCACAGCATCTTATGATATAGTATAGCACCTAAACTTAAGCCCTGAACCCTAAACCCCTAAAACCCTAAACCCCTCAACCCCTAAATCCCAAGCCCTAAACCCTGGCCTAAACCCTAAACCCCTAAAACCTAAAACCCCTAAAACCCTAAACTCCTAAACCCTAAACCCCTAAACCCTTAACCCCTAAACCCGCCAAGGAACCCCTATAGATCCCTTGGAGGAACCCTTAAAGGAACCCCTAAATGCTAAACCGCTAAACCCAGGTTTTTTCATCTGCCCTTAAACCCCATAGACCCCTTAAAGGAACCCCTATAGATCCCTTAAAGGAACCCCTAAACCCTAAAGCGCTAAACTCAGTTTTTCATCTGCCGTCCGTCAGGCCCGGAGCGATCTCCAAGTGGACGCCGCCCTCGGTGTACGCCTTATCCACCTCCCGTACTACGGTTGATGCATTACCCATAATAAACACTATACCATAAATCCCATAGTTTAGGGTCCTTAAGGTAATGCAGGATTTATACCATCAACAGTAGGAGGTTTGGAGGTTTTTGTGGGTAGTTAAAAGTAGGGTTCCCTTTAAGGGCCCCTTCAAAGGGATCTATAGGGATTCTTTAAGGGTATAGGGTCTAGGGCCTTCATGGGTAGTTATAACTGGGGTTATATGTATAAGGGCTCTGTAGGGTTTAGGGTATTATAGGATTATAGGGTTTATGGGTTGTTATAAGTAGGGTTATATGTAGGGTAACGCTATACTTATAACCCATAGTAGGTGCTGATTGCCCCACTTATAACTACCCATGAACCTACAAGTAGGTTTAGGGTTTCGGGCTGTTCAGGGGGGTTTGTCTTCGGAGTTCCTGCTTCCCGTCGAAGGGCTCCTGGGTCTTTATGTTCGGACTCACTCTTCCACTCTACAGAACCAAATTGCGAAGGCCAGTCCAGGAACGTACGGTTTAGGGTTTAGGGTTTAGGGTTTAAGGTTTAGGGTTTAGGGTTTAGGGTTTAGGGTTTAGGGTTTAGGGTTTAGGGGTTTAGGGGTTGAGGGCACGCATCCAGTCCAAAGCGCTACCGAGCTCGCGTCGGATGCATTGGAGGAAAGAGATGCATCGCCCGCGCTTCCCCCATCGCCAGACGGACTGGCACCGCTTCCACCATTCCCCGCACCATAGAGAGGCTGAGAGACACCTCCATGCGGCCCATCGCACACGGAGTGCAGATTATAAGAGGCGGCTCATCTCCACACGAACCTCCCTCGTCGAAGTATGAGAGGCAAGGACAGCGGCATAGCAGCAAGCAGAGTGGCATGACAGAATTGTTACCCTGTGAATGACAGATTCAGAGGTGCCTCAATTCAATGAGGACCATAGAGTAATGTATTCGCTTTGAATATGTGCTTCAACCGATTACACCATAAAAAATATGTACTATACTACAGCAAGTTATCATTGTGGGTCTCCTGAATCGGCAGAAGATTTGCAGGTCTAAGGCGAATCGAAGCATGAAGTCTCGATGTTCAGGGCTTAGGATTGGGGTTTAAGGTTTGAGGTTTGGGGTTTAGGGGTTTGGGGGTCTAGGGTGTGGGGTTTAGGGTTTAGGGTTTAGGGCTTAGGGTTCAGAGTTCAGGGTTTAAAGGAATCCGAAATATCACCGTCGTTGGAAATGTAGATCCGTGCCTCGATCGGGAGCTTGTGCGAAGATCATCCTCTTCCCATCATACGGTTGATGATAAAAATCTTGCATTACCCATAACAAGGAATGTACCATAGCTCCCATAGTTGAGGGTCATTAATCAAAGGGTAAAAGGAGGGACCCCTAGGTATATACCCATAGTATAGCCATTATATACCCATTATACAGCCCATTACTACCCATAGTATAGCCATTGGGCCATTATATACCCATTATACAGCCCATTACAGGGTAGGGGTCCGCATTAAGGGTCCCTCCCTTTTCCCCTTTGAATTAAAGTAATGCAGGACTTATATCATCAAGAATAGCAGACCGCCGGGTCAGAGTTGCCACAGTCATTGGCGTTTTTGATGTTGTAGGCCTCTGGGTAGTTGTCAAAAAAAATACTGGGTACCCTAAATATCAGGTGCCGTATTATATTAAGCACCCGAGAAAGGACCATAATTTTGACAACCACCCCTCTGTGTCAATGCTTCCCAGGTATACAATTCCCCGCTTCGAACTTCGGTGGATCGATCAGTGTAGGTGGTTCTGGTCTGGACGTCACCACGAGAATCAGTGTAATGGGCATCTTGGACATCTCAAACAGTATTTCTGACGACGCTCTGACCTCGAGATATCCGTCACCATCACTGACAATTGTGCCAATATGCCTGAGTTGATCATGAAGGTTCTGCTGAACTGAGCCATAACCTCAATGATCACTATCACACAGTGAACCTTTTCGATGACACCGAACGATTTCAACGTCTGGGCAGTAAAGATGATCTCACCCAGTCCCCTGTCTTGCCTTTCAGCGAGAATGAGGGCCAGGGGCTCACGGACTGTCAGTATGGTCAGTCTTCCTTTCGGTTCTGGGTTTAAGGCTTATTAGGTTTAGGGCTGAGGGTGTAAGGCTTTATGGTTAAACCCCAAAACTTAATTTTGAAATGAAAGCCGCAAGCCCTGAACGCCCGAACCCCCCGAAGGCCTCGTTCTCAAAAAACTGTTCGGTATCCCTGAGCCCCGACCCGGAAACGGCTGCTTTTTTGTTGAAGCTCTGTTTACAACATTTAAGGCAGACGCCGGGAAAAAAATATAAACAGACTTGTTGTGATAATAGGGGCCTTGATCATTAGAATTGGAGCGTTTTTTGTACTTCCCATAAATTGCTAAGCCCTAAAGTCCTAAAGCAAAGCCTTAAATCCTTAATGATTACAACCCTCAACCTAAACTTAAGCGCCTCGGACGCCCAGGGTGGCTGCGTTGCCCGGCAAACTGGACACCTGGCAGCCAGCGCTTTCAGGGTTAAGGGTTTAGGGTTCCATGCAAGGGCCTTCATAATTGCCTTCAAGCTAGATTCTCGTTTGGGGGGCGTACTATAGTTTCGGGTGGTATCACCTTATGGTCCCGCGGTTTCTCGAGTAATCTTCTTTGATGGTCCCTAGCTTTCTACAATAACCAGAATCTTCCCCCATTGTCCCTGTACCACAGCATGACCCGAAACCATGTTCTAAACCCTAATCACTAAACCCTAAACCCTAATCCCTAAACCCTAAACCCTAAACCCTGAACCCTAATCCCTAAACCCCAAACCCTAAACCCTGCTCCTATCACCCAGGGCTTCAGAGCACAGAGGAGCGCTGCGGCGGTCGAGTCTAGTCATGGTAGCGTCTAAGGGGGAACCATGGAACTGGCTCTCAACATGGGTCGCTCTTGACGGCTACAATACCTGGAGGTTCATGGGTAGCTATAAGGTTTAGGGTTTAGGGTTTTTTTATAAAAAAAAAAAAAGGTTTAGGGTTTAGGGTTTAGGGTTTAGGGTTTAAGTTATAAGTGATGCTACAAGTCCCCTAATATGGGTTATAAGCAAAGTTACCCTACTTATACCCTTACTGATAACTGCCCATGAACCTCCAAGTATCTTCCGCACCCTATACCCAAATCCCCAAAACCTAACTAAACCCTAAACCCCTAACCGACCCAGGTTGGCAACCCTTAGGCGAGCGTCCTCTTCCGCGCGGCTTTCTGGTCTCCCAAGAAAACGGACAACCCCTTTCAAGCTTCACCCAGACGCCCGGGAGGATCTAGAAAGTAGATCCCCTAATTTGTTTGGATCCTCCCGGAATTCTGCGCATGGAACCCTACGCTAGTCTTCCTAAACTCCAAACGCCAAATGCTTGCTTCCCTAAACGCTAAGCATCCCGAACCCCGAGCTCTTCCTGAGCCCTAAAAACCTAGCTCTTCCTAAACATCCCCAAACCCTACTTGGAGGGTCGGGGGACTTAGTAACTGGTTATTTTAGGGACTTATAACTACCATAACCCCAATTAGGGTCCCTTTTAGGGTCCAAGTAGCTCTTCCTAAACCCGAAAACCCTAAACCAAAAACCCTGGCACTGGTTTTCCTAAGCCCTGAACCCCAAACCCTCCCAAAACCCCAGGTTTCCTAGCCCTAAACCCTGGCTTTTCGAAACCATCCTTATATCGGAGTTTCCGAAGATGGGGACCCTAACAGAGTACCCCAAAATAGGAGGATCCTTATTATAAGGACCCCAAAATAAGGTACCCCTAATTTTCGGCAACTCCCAGAAAGTCCTCAAAAAGGTCATGGTCCAGGCAAACCCGAAGAACAGCCGGTTCCGCTTCGCAGAAGGCGGCCGGCGCCCTTCCGGAGACGGCGAAGCTGGGGACCTGCCGTCGGCCCAAGTGGGCACTTTAATTGGAGGGTCGGGGGACTCAGTAAGTAGGTAGTAAGTAGACTTAAAGTACCATCACCAGTTACTAAGTCCCCCGACCCTCCAAGTAGGGGCCTTTAAGGCTTTAGGGGCCTTTAGCGCACTGGGCGCCTTTCGGGATTTGGGGGTTTCGGGCTTTAGGGGCCCTTTGGGATCTTTGGGAGCGTTGAAGGCTCTAGGGGCTTTTCGGGAATTTGAGGTTTAAGGCTTGCTAAGGCCTTCAGGGATTTTGGGGTTTTGCTTTTTTGGACCGGTACAAGAGCATTTTCGGGGCCCAGAGGGCTTGTCGCATCCTTCCCTTTAAAGGGGTCTGCAAGGGTACCTGTACAGTAGAAGCCCACAAGTTGGAAACCTAACAGCCTCAATCCTTAAGAGTAACGTGGAGGGAATCCCAGTACCATTTGGCCTTAATCCGGTTTCAAACTTTAAGGGGTTTACTGTAGGCTGTAGCGCTTTTAGCTTGTGGGATTTCGGGGCAAGGCTTGGGTTCTGTGGTGTGTGTGTGTGTGTGACCAAAACCCTAGTTGTAGGAACCTGATTAAGCAACCCTGGCCTATAGCCCCAATATAGTAGGATTCATTTAAGGAACACCCAAGGTTTCTTAATCAGGTTGCTAGATTGAGCCCTGAGAGTTGTCTTGGGACTTAGGGCTGATCTCAGGGCTCGTGCGCGCGAGCTGAACTGAGAGGCTTCAAGTTTAGCTGGGAGCCCTTCAGGCGTGGCTTGGGGGGTTTGATGGAACTGAGAGGAATGATAATAATTCTAAGCCAAGGTCTCTATGCGAGTTTAAAAAGCGGCTGGTTCGAAAGGATACAGTCGCTGGCCTTCTCTAGATTCAGCTGAATCCTCACTCACGCTGCTCTATAAACCTTTCAAAGATACTTTGGCAGTGATCTCACGATGACTACAAGCGGTGGCGTCACTTTGCGGCAGAGCGATACCCAAAAGCCTAATACCTGGAACCCTAAGCCCCAAACCTTCCAAACCCAAACAAACTAAAGCCCCAACCCCTATTACTTGGAGGGTCGGGGGACTTAGTCACTGGTGATTTTAGGGTAGGGTACTTATAGTCTACTTACTACCTACTTACTAAGTCCCCCGACCCTCCAAGTACGATACCCTGACGCCCTACGCCTTCAGACCCTGAAACCCTCAACCTCCAAACCTTCGGACCCTGAGCCCCTTTTCAAGAACTTAGCTCTAACAGCCACTAAGGATGCCTTGACCCCCGGGAAGACATCTGGCCCTCCTGTGGGTCCTGATTCGGAGCTTAAACCCTTCTGTCTGGTTCTTAGTAGGGGATGGGGGAATGGATCCCTATAGTAGTCTCTATATAATCCCCAATAGCTGTCCCTTTAACCCATTCCGCCATTCCCTACTAAGAACCAGGGAGCCTTTCTGTGACGGTTTCAGGCTTAGAGGTGGGAGGGTTGACTTAGGGCTCCCAGGAATGTCGACGCCTGGATAAGAAGTAAGTTAGAGTTCATTCCCTTTCAGGGTCCTTCTACAAGGGTGCCATACTATTTGGGGCACCTAAACCAGGACCCTGATTTCGAGAACTACCCATATAGTAGCCTCATAGAAACCCTTACCCAGAGACTCCAATAGCCCTTAATGAAGGAATATACTTTAGATGTTAGTAGGACCCCGAATATGATTCAGGGTATTCCTTAATTAAGGAATATTGGAGTCTTTGGGTATAGATCCCTTTAAGGAACCGCTTAAGGGACCCTCTTACAGAGCTCACTCTTCGGGTTGATGCTCTGGGGCTTTGGGGTTCAGGTTCCGGGTCGTCGGTGGTAGTTCGGCCGAGAAGGCTTCAAAAATGTGGAATTGTGGTTGTTTTACAGGCCTTTGTGGCTGGGATGCCCAGTAACCTAGGAAAAAAAGCACCCTTTTTCGTAGTGGGTAAAAATATAAGGAACCTAGGACCACAAAAAGTGAAAAAGGGCCCACTGGGAGGCCTAGTTGGTGTCTATAGAAGGTTTAGAGTTTAGAGTTTAGGGTTTAGAGTTTAGGGTTTAAGGTTTAGAGTTTAGGGTTTAGAGTTTAGGGTTTAAGGTTTAGAGTTTAGGGTTTGGAGTTTAGGGTTTTTCGTTTAGAGCTTAGGGTTGAGGGTTCAAGGGGCTCAGGCTTCGGGCTTTCAGTTCATGATATCTGCTGGGTACTGCCCCCATACAGTACCAGTCTAATAGGGCTACTATTAAGGTCCTAATATATATATATATATATATTATGAATATTATCCAGCTGTTACTGAGTGAGGCTTTGAGTTCATGAGATCTGCTTATAAAGTCTTCGCACATGGGTAGCTCTCTAAGTTCGGGTCCCTTCTCTAAGTCCCCGACAAAAGTTCGGCACCCTTGCAAAAAGGGCCCCAAGGCGGATTCTGATTTAGAGAGAACAAATTGTATTTTTACGAAGCTGTACCACAGACCTGAAAGCTTGGGGTTTGGGGTTTAGGGTTTGAATCGTTAGCCTAACATTGTCGACAGAACAGGCAGCCAAAAACGAACCCTTGAACCGCGGAAACCGAAACACCCCGAAGCTGAAGACGACTCCTGTACATTAGAAGGGGCCCCCGCGTAATAGTGACTGTAAGGATTATATTGGAGCCCTGGTATAATACCACTATTACAGGGTGGGGGCCCCTTCTAACCTGTACATCCCCCGGTTTAGGGTTTGGGGTTTCGGGTACCACTGAAAACCAAAGCAACGACAGAACCTCGACACTTCAAGCCTAAACCCTAAACCCCTAAACCCCTTAAACCCTAAACCCTAAACCCCGGTCTCGAGTATGCTCATTGTTGTCACTATGGTCTTGAATTATCTTGACACACAACTGTAGTAGCAATCATATTATTAACAACAGCCGTCATACTAATACTACCAGCGAGAAAAGCAGCACTAGCAATAGTCATAATGCAAATAATAGCAATAATAATATTAATAGTAGTAGTAATGGTAACACAATAAGAATAACGCAGTAATAATAACAAACTAGAACAAAAATTGTAACACCCCTAGTCATGACAATAAAAACACTACTAGCATACTCATAACAAGAACAACAAAAAATCAAAGACACTACGACTAGCAATAATAATATCGTCATAATAAGAACGAAATAAAATCAAACACACTAAAACTAGTAATAATTGAGTATAGACATAATAAGAACAAAAACATCAAAAAAACAAAAAAAACAAAAAAACAAACAAAAATGACACCACAAACAGGAAACCAACAAAAAAAAAAAAAAAAAACGAGCCCTGGCTCCTCTGGCGGCTCCAGAAGCTCCTGCGCCCGCGCCGGGCGCTGAGGAGCCTCAGAGCTCCGGGTTTTTGGGGTGTTCAGGGCCTTTTTGGGTTTTAGGGGTTTTAGGGGTTTAGGGGTTTAGGGATTTAGGGATTTAGGGATTTAGGGATTTAGGGACTTCGGGTATAGGGGTTCAGGGCCTTTTTGGGTTTTAGGGGTTTTAGGGGTTTAGGGGTTTAGGGATTTAGGGATTTAGGGATTTAGGGATTTAGGGATTTCGGGTATAGGGGTTCAGGGCCTTTTTGGGTTTTAGGGGTTTTAGGGGTTTAGGGGTTTAGGGATTTAGGGATTTAGGGATTTAGGGATTTAGGGATTTCGGGTATAGGGGTTCAGGGCCTTTTTGGGTTTTAGGGGTTTTAGGGGTTTAGGGGTTTAGGGATTTAGGGATTTAGGGATTTAGGGATTTAGGGATTTCGGGTATAGGGGTTCAGGGCCTTTTTGGGTTTTAGGGGTTTTAGGGGTTTAGGGGTTTAGGGATTTAGGGATTTAGGGATTTAGGGATTTAGGGATTTCGGGTATAGGGGTTCAGGGCCTTTTTGGGTTTTAGGGGTTTTAGGGGTTTAGGGGTTTAGGGATTTAGGGATTTAGGGATTTAGGGATTTAGGGATAGGGGTTCAGGGATTTAGGGATTTAGGGTATAGGGGCTTTTTGGGTTTAGGGGTTTTAGGGTTTAGGGATTTAGGGATTTAGGGTATAGGGGCTTAGGGGTTTAGGGGTTTTAGGGTTTAGGGTCTGTTAGGGTTTTAGGGTATAGGGGCTTAGGGGTTTAGGGGTTTTAGGGTTTAGGGTCTGTTAGGGTTTTAGGGTATAGGGGCTTAGGGGTTTAGGGATTTAGGGACTTAGGGATTTAGGGATTTAGGGATTTAGGGAGGGATTTAGGGATTTAGGGATTTAGGGATTTAGGGATTTAGGGATTTAGGGATTTAGGGATTTAGGGATTTAGGGATTTAGGGATTTAGGGATTTAGGGGTTTAGGGATTTAGGGATTTAGGGTATAGGGGCTTTTTGGGTTTTAGGGGTTTTAGGGTTTAGGGTCTGTTAGGGTTTTAGGGTATAGGGGCTTTTTGGGTTTTAGGGGTTTTAGGGTTTAGGGTCTGTTAGGGTTTTAGGGTATAGCTGAGCGATAAAATCCATTGGGCGAAGGGGAGGCAGCCCTCTTGCTCATAGCTGGAAGATAGACATGGCAACTCGGCTGCGAGAGCCGACGGATCCTTTGAAGCGCTCGCCATAATGACGAGGTGCACTGGTCGATGACAACCATGCCTGGGTTTAGAGGCTTAGGGTTTAGGGGGTTTTGGTCAGGACCTTTAAGGATCAGGGGTCTAAACCCTAAATCTTCAACCCTAAACCCTGAACCCGCAACCTTAAACCCTCTTTCTTAAACCTCAAACCCTGAGCCCGAAACCCTATACCCTTCTGGTGTTTAAAGAACCCTTCTAGCAACCTTTTAAGGAAACCTTATAACCCTAAGCCCATACAGCCCTTTAAAGAATCTTTCACAGGAACCCCTATAATACCCTTTAAAGGAACCCGGAAGCCTAAAGCCCTAAACCCTTAACCATATTCTAACTACTAAGGCCCCTATATTATCGTACCCTTATAGATCCCTTATAGACCCCCTTGAAGGATCCGTTTAAA